GGTAAATGTTAAGTTAGTTACCGAACGACCACCGCGTAACTAAGACCACAGAACCTAAACGAATAAGATCACGCCCCGAAAATCATGCGGAATCGAGAACTAGAAAGGACAAGCCTCTCTAGTTTTACAAAGGGGGGGGGGGGAGATGTAGGTCGCGTAACAAACTAATTAACTAACCAGACTAACATCGCACGATTGGTGCTGGTTGATGACCTTGACTAATAGACCTCCCCTATTGACCGAAAACTAAGACCTTCTGATTTACAGGCTTGACCATGCCTCCCAAATTTGGAACCCGCACACGACGGCCCCTCCACCACCGGCCAGAATTGGAATTCCGGCCAACAGAGGACGGCCCACCACCCAAACCAGAGCTCGTCATTATATCCTCAGATGAGGAAGATGACCACGACCGACAAGACCAGAGGGCAACAGCGCCATCCCCCTCGTTCTCGACCTCCTCCTATATAATGGAGATAGAGGAGGAGATTTTGAAAGAAAAGGCTCGCCTCGGACTGCAGGATCGACTTACCCTGGCAGCAAAAAGGGTAGCGGCCCTGGTTCCCCCGGCGGAACAAACTGCAGCCGACCAAAAAATATTCCACCTGGCAGGCCTCATCGAGAAAACGGGTGGAAACCAACCTTCAGGAAGCGGCCAGAGCTCAGACGAGTCGGGAATAGTCCTCCTTACAAGAGGAGAAGGATTAGATAGCCCCACGGACGAAACCAGACCGACCAGCCGAGACCCGACCCCGGAGACCACGAGAGCGACGGTAGTCCCTGCTATCCGGGGGGGAGACCAGCCCGAGGATAGCCAGGAGGACCCGAAACCGAGCCAAACCGAGAGATCGTCGCAACACCATCCTCACCCGGGATGGTTACCGGTCACAAACACGGACGATAGGGCCACCCTAATCCGCGGAATCGAGGAAAGGAGGATAAGGGGGGAAAATGGCCGGAGGAGAAGATACAACCTTCGGAGGCACCTGGAATATAATGACCTGGTGAGCGTGATGGACCGTTCGGACGCATCCAGCGACGAACCAGGTCCCCCAACCCGCACATCACCACCTCGAGGCATCCGCCCCTGGATAAATTACGAAGCCCGCCCCAGAGATACCGGAGCAGGCTTCGGAAATCTAAGAGCCATCCCTACAGACCCGACCATAGACCCTCCTGGCCGCAGTTGCTTTAACTGCTGGATGCCCGGACACAGCTACCGGACCTGCCCGCGTCCAACGGAAGCCAACCAATATTGCGGCAACTGTGGCCGGAGAGGGGTGGGGGTCGAAAACTGCCCAAGATGCGCAGAGGAATATTGGCATCGCCAGGACAGGACAACCGCGGGCCGACTGACGCACCACGTGGCACATCCAGAGGCCCCACCTCCCTCCTACGACGAAGTGGTGCAACCAGCCACCATTAATCGACCGGGGCCATCAACCGGCGCTATCCCACGCCCCCCTGAATATAGACGCCAGAACCGTCACAACCCCAGCCACAGCCGACCGCACATTGAAGCCGCACAAGACATCGAGGACCGCCTGAGGGAACTGGATAAACTTCGTCAAGCCGTGGAGGCTATGGCCGCGGCAGAACGCCGAAATTTAGAGAAGGTTAGAAGAAACCGCAGTTTGAATCGGGGCAGAGAATCCAGTAGCGATTAAGAATAATAAACCGCGGCCTCCGGGCCTATTAATCACATCTGACTACTCTTATTTAACCCTAATCCGATCCCTTAAACACCCCCTTTCAGGTCACTAAATCAGTAGCCGAGGACCAGGTGTGAGCAGATCATCAGTAGACCCGCGATGACCGACGAATCACGGTGCATGTGTATGCACCGGATTAGTGGGGGGCTATGTGATGATGCGTCATCACACACAAATATATATTACCGGCACTATGACAGAACAGCCACGACTACATACACCCGCCCACGCACTCCCGGATCTCGCGAACTACGACCTCTAGAAACCTCCCTGACCGATTCGCACGACCCTTACGCTCGCGTACAACCCCTCGCGCACTCACGACCCGATCCGACCCTCCCCCGGGGAGCTAGAAGCCCCTAAAGTTTTCAGTCGCGATCAGCTGATCGCAAGCCCCCGTTAGTTAAGGCAGGCCTAGCTAGACTAAAGGTAGGAGCGACCGAGCGCGTGAGAGCGAGCGAGACCGCCGATGCTAGACCGATCGGAAGCGAGCGAGGGGAATCGGTAAGACCAACGAGCGGTAGATAGAAGAAGATAGACAAGCGACGCTAGTTGACTGACCAATCGTTATCAGCTTAGGGGTGGTCGAACTAATGAGGGAAAACCGACGCTATCTTCGCGGCCAGTAGGCAAATTAGGCGCGAAGGACCGACCAATAAATAAATTGCGCGGGTAAAAAAACGTTAATATAGACGGCGCTGAGACCTGGCTTAGCAACAAGCTAGCCAATCGGCAACAACGAAGGGGAAGTAAACTAGGAGAAGCGGTGCGTCGCCGAAAAACGGCGCGCCAGTAACCGTTAAGCCTCGACGGTAGGAAGTCCGCCGAGCCTCGCCGTTGCGCGGTACGCAGAAATTAGAATAGAAGCAGAAGTGAGAATTAGAATAGAAGCAGAAGTGAGAATTAGAATAGAGGCAGAAGTGAGAATTAGAAAAGAAACAGAAGTGAGAATTAGAAAGAAGCAGGAGTGAGAATTAGAAAAGAAAGTAGAAGTGAAAAGTGGAAACAAAAAAAAAAAGAGGGGAAAGAAAAGCGAGAGTGAATACGAAAGAAATAGTGAAGGAGGTAGGCAAGAGATAGTGAAAGTGAAAATAGTACAAAAGATATTGAGAGAAATAGGCATAACAGAAGAACGATAATAGATAATAACGATAATAACGATAACAGGATAAAATAACGATAATAACGATAACAGGATAAAATAGCGGAATAACGATAACAAACAGAGCATTAATCGGCCAAAATCTACCAGGAGTAAGTACCCTTTTACTGCCGATTTCTTTGCATGAATGATAACCGCGAGTTTGTCGCGCATTGCCGACCGCCGCGTTTTCGGGAGTGCCGCATGACCTCCGCGCGCATTACGCCTTGACCGAAAACGTTTGCCGTTATCCCCAAGTTTTTTTTTGTCACGTCGTTCTTTGTCCCGCACCTGAAATAGTCGCCTGACCGCCGAATGTTCGCGCGCGGAACCCCGCATGACCTTCGCGCGCCCGTCACCGTTGCTTTATATGGTTTTGCCACCGACCTTTCGGGAATAGTTTCGAGTCGCCGTGTTGCTATCAACCGTGCAACGAGTTTTCTGAGTGTGCGCCCTTGAAATTCCTTTCCGAGTCGATCCAAACATCACACGAGTCGCGTTAGACCTTCATCCGACCGGCAAAACTCAGGTACATCGTCGCCTTTATTTTGTTCGCAAGCATCGCTATACGTAACGTCAACACCGCGAATGGTAGTCAACCTTCGCGCGACCGACCGAATTCCTGAGCGCAATTGTTTTGAACGAGCTGGAATTTTCGCCGCGAATAGATAAACCGACGTTACGTATTCGAATCATAGCCGAAGCCCGAAACATTCAACCGAGTTATTGTCCGTCTAAGCTGACTTCGCGCCGTAGTACGCCACCCGCGTTCCCCCAGTAATCTAGACCAGGCTGACCATCGCTAGGGGTAGACCACTGGGGTAGACCTGGGTTTCTTTTGCATAATAAATCCGAATTTTCTTTATATCCGACTTATTATTGACTACACCCACTTGATCGCCCCATCCCCCGTAGCTTTCGCGACCGGTTTGAGATCGGTAAACGCGTGCGCGAATTCCCGACTGCCCTGATCACCGCTCAACCGATAGCCACCGTCGCAGCCACTACGCCACCAGTCCAGGGAAGGAGTCATCATCCCCCGAACCACTAGCCGCCAACCGGAGCGCCCCTGCGACGCCCCCCTCGATGTACCCGCTTCTGGGATTGAGAGCCGCCATGCCCCGAAACATCTAGCTAGCCGAACGAGCCGCAGCCGTGGGTGGCCTTGGAAACCACCCGTTGCCCCCCTTTCCCCTTTCGCTCGATACGTCTTTCCGCTTTAGACTTGACCGAATCGTCGCCTAGGACTTCGCGCCCCTGCTTCATCCTCCACAGGTGATAGTCGGCCACGCGCGCAAGAACACCGACGGCGACAAGGAGGGAGGCGACGGGGAAACCACCCGACCTCACAGCGACCAGCAGGACCACCGAGCCGAGAACCAGCCGACGTTGCAGCGCTACCACGTTCTCCTAACGCGAGAGCACGGTAGCTGGCGCCCAACTCAATAAAATAAAGCTGCACACGTCGTCTCGGCTGACTGCGCGCCGCTGGCGACAGCGCGAGATCAGGAGAAATACCGTCTTTTATTTTTCCCCTCCCTCTCCCCCGTCGCAGGTTGGTCAAATGAGTCCTGTTATTAGAAGTCATCTTGGCTATTCGTGGTGACGTGTGGGATGCACTTACGTGCTGCAACTAGTACTTCACTGTTTAATAACCGTCACTAATATATACAAATATTTATACACACACACTTTGAGTAGTTATGTGGGCACTCACGGTAAGCTTACGTTGGAAGTATTGTATAACACTTTTTCATACAAGATTATTTGTATAAGATTGAATTAATATGTATGATAATGAATTAAAGCAGTTAAAATTTTATCCATAGTCTAAAATGAAATATCTAGGAAACAGCTTGCGTTATTTAAAAATTTTTTTATAAATCACATTTTTCATAAAATAAATTTACACATACATTGGTATTTAAAAAAATAAATATCATCTGTGCCATCGTATTAAAAATTTAAATGAAATATTATTTAATTATATTGATTGACAAATAATTGAAGGTCTGTTAATATTATTAGAGTATGTTTTTATATTTATTTGATATTATTTTAATAATTTTGATAATATCAAATCACTTAATTTTTTTTATAATTGAATGATTATTAGTCTTATAATAAAGAAGACTTAATCCACTCACAGTTGATATGGAACCACTTTTCACAGTAGATGGCGGCGCAGAAGCTATAGATGCCCTGTGATCAGAATTGTGACGATAAGTGCGATTATTATATCTATGTAATGTAGAGTGATAAGATTCCATATTCGCCGTGGATTCATCATCAGTCCAACTATAATCTTCTTTGTCAGACTCCAATCGTTTCCTGAATACAAAACGATTGATTTGGTTTTCTAGTGCATGATTGAGTTTCTCTAATTTTGGTGAGGTAGAGAGCTCTTCATATTTCACTTGAACTTCTGAAAAATTGCGTAAAAACGTAATTCATCATTAAATTCTTATTATATAATATATCTATATATATATAATATATCTATATATATATATAATATATCTATATATAATATATCTATATATATATCTATAGCTTCTAATAAAATTTTGTTTAATAAAGTCAAGCATTATGCGTTAAAAATTCAAAGAAAAATATAATAGAAATTATTAAAACGAACCATCTTTTATTTTATTCTCAGTCGCTACTGAAGTATAATTCATCTCCTTAGAGATATTTCGAGAACAGATAATTTCTCTTGCATCTTGAGGACTTTTATCTGATCCAGAGTCAGAGCCAGATCCAGTTGATCCGACCAAAGTTATGGAGCTGAGATTGCTTGGAGATGAAGGTGCACTAACTACCGTTAATTTTGTAAAGTTAAATTAATAGATATTAATTAACGGGGTCAAGGTAACATAAAGTACCACTAATATATTTTGTTTTATATATCTTTACATTCAACAGTTTTTCTGAGTTATATTATACAGGGTGTCCAAAAAGTAACGATACACCTGAGAAATTTTCTAAGCCGGTTATTTTTTTAACCGAGTGAAGGTTGTTCTTGAAGTAACTTTTTACGAGGAATTCGATGGTAACCTTGGATTTGACCTTGAACCTCATTTTCAAGGTTATTTTGAGGTCAACCTCATTTTTTTAAATGGAAACCCCTATTTTTTATGGCGGAATCGGAAAGAGCGGAAAATTTTACGTCCAGATATGTATTGAGGTATGAGGTTGAGGTAACTCCTAGAGGTCAACTGGAGGTCAAAGTATGAATTCTTAAAAATCTCGCGAATTCAGTGATTAAACAAAACAAACAAAAGGATAACCCCAGGTAACTTTCAACGGTACTCTTTAATTTGTCCTTGGACCTCATTTTCAAGGTTATTTTGAGGTCAACCTCATTTTTTTTAATGGATACCATTATTTTTTATGGCGGAATCGAAAAAAGTGAAGACTCTCACGTATGGATGAGTTGAGGTTTGAGGTTAATGTGACCTCTAGGGGTCAGATGAAGGTCGAACTGTGGCTTTGTAATAGTACCGGGATTTTAGTGGTACAAGGAAGGAAATAAAGGTCATGGAAACCCCCATTTTCGACAGCGGCAATCGAAAGAGCGGAAAATTTCACATCCAAATATCTACTTAGATCATAAGTCAAGGGCGAACTTAAAGTTTAAGGTCAGTCGAAGGTCATCTAAACTTAAAGACGCCCTAAAATTTTTTAAAGTTTTTTTTTATAATGGAGAAGGGTATTTATTTAGTAATTGCCCATCGGAGATCCGTGACCTTGAATTTAACCTTCAACCTCATTATCAAGGTTTTTTCAAGATCAATTTTTTTTACTTTTAGCGTTACCCAGGAACAACGACGTGGACGTAGTAAAATCTGTCCCTTTGGGGTGCTTTATTTTCGTGAGTTCCCCTCGCCTCTCACGATCGGGGTGCTTCACCCGGTTAAAAAAATAACCGGCTTAGAAAATTTCTCAGGTGTATCGTTACTTTTTGGACACCCTGTATACAAGTACATAAAATAACATGTTTATTCAAAAATTTTATCAGTTTAGAATATCTAGAATATTTAGCGAGTAGAAGATAGATTACATATCACAATATTCTAGATTTTTCTAATTTTTCATTCATCTAGCGAAAGGTAAAATTAGAAATTTTATTTTTATTGAACGATAACATAGGCTAACAGCCAAAAAACCCAGAAACTCGACAACATAATTCCAAAGTATTTTCCCGCACGAAATCCGAATCTGGCCTTAGAATTAATCAGCTAAGGCTCTCGAGATATCTTAACCTAAATGTGCTAAAAACAAGATTTTCAGCTATATTCCAGGTTACGTAACATCACAAATAAATTTTTTTCTAAACGGGTCTAATCATCTTAAAGAAGCACTCTTGCCCTACAAAACCTATTTTTCTAATTATGAATATTTCTCTTCTTCGTGGAGTTATCATTGATGAAATGAAGCATTTTATTCATTTCCAAATAGTATTAAAACACAGCCTATTTTCCAAAGACGCATATATAACAGCAAAATTATATCCTAAGACCCTTATATCCTAATTTTCGTAACCATTGAGTCCTGTAAGCTGTGGTACTATAACCCTGGACCTGTAAATGCTATAACCTATATAGCCTAAATTTTTTTATCCCCGCCCTGTAAGCTTCAATGCTATAATCACCGATTCTTATACCCTAAATTACTTAACCCAACCCCCGAGTCCAGTAACCTGCAACTATATAATTCCTAACCCTTCAACCGTTTAAGTTTACAATCCTCCACTGAAATTGATACTAAAATTCAAGAAGGTATATTCGTAGGGATACCTTTCAAGGATATAGCTTCACAGGTTACAGGACTCGAGGACTATGAAATTTGGGGTTTAACTTTCTGGGGTTATAGCATCGAAGCTTACAGGGCGAGGGTTAAGAAAATTAGGATATGTAGGTTATATAGTCGTAGGTTACAGGGCTCGGGGGTTACGAAAATTAGGGTCTAAGGGTCTCAGGATATAACTTCGCATTGCTACATATGCGTATTTAGAAAATAGACTGTGTTTTAATGCCATTTGGAAATGAACGAAATGCTCAATTTCAATCAGTGATAACTCCATGAAGAAAAGATATATTTGTAATCAAAAAATTAGTTTTGTAGGGCAAAAGTATTTCTTTAGGATGATTTGACCCGTTCAGAAAAAAAATATTTATTCGCAATGTTACGTAACCTCGAACATAGCTAAAAATCGTGTTTTTGGTCCTTTTAAGTTAGGACATCTCGAGAACCTTAGATGATGGAATAATTTTGAAGGCAGATTCGGATTCAGCGTATCAAAATGCTTCGGAAATATATTGTCGCGTCTCTGGGTTTTTTCTTTCTTGAAATTTTGTCAGTCTGTGTAATCATTTATTCTTGACAATTGGATCATAAACATAGTGTCCTATCTTAGTATTTTGATGTTTTTAACAAAATAAAACACAAATTTTTTAATATTAATATATTTAAAATTTTTCTAGAATGAAAGTAAATTGTTCTTAATTATTTAAAAAACAGAAGTATATTAATGTATTACTCAATTTTTATTTGTACCTGTAAGTGTTTCTGCACTTGATGAAACTGCAATGACTTTAGGAATGGTTAAATGACAGCCATCGTCTGCTGAATTATTATTATTACTTATTTTACTATTAACTTTTTGAGAACTAGAAGATAATTGCTTGTCTGATTGAGAACTGTACATCTGAGTATTCGAATTTTGATTCATATTTGTAGGTGCTTCGGATATTAATCCTAATTGCTGATCTTCTTCTGCATGAAAATAAAAGAAATTGTATATTGTATAAATCGATTACTGTTTTATTTTTTTTAAATATGTGGTTTGTTATTAAAAGTTTGGATATGTAGGTTATTATTTATATGTAGATTATATTTCAAGATAATGAATAATCATTGCATAAATGTTTGAGATAATTAAAAGATATGTACAAAAATTAATAGACATTTCGAGTAAATCTTGATTATGATGAAAATATTTTAATATTTTAGTATTTACAAAAAATCGCAATAAAAACTTGGAAGTCTCACGTTTTTTGTAGGTAGTACGCCAGTGTGGTTTTGTATTGTATACAAAAGTACTTGTAATGGATTCATTAGCACTGTTGCTTCCTATTTCTCTACTATCGCTTATTTCTGAGCCATACCCTACGTATATTAAATAATGACAAAAATGATGAATCACAAGGAGACTTTTACTTTTATATAATAAAAGTATTTGTATGTTCAATAATAATCGCTCAGAGCGATATTATAATTGTATTAGTTACTGTGTATAAATATTGTTTTTATATCAATAAAAATCCTTACCTGATACTGAACTAGCACCACTTGTACGTCGTGGAAATGAGCTGCTTCGTCGTCTACTATCTAAAAATTGTAAAGGTTCTTCCGTATTCAAACCAGATACATCTAATGATCTGAGAAACGTTAGAATTACGGAAAATATATTTTACAATATTTATACAGATTGCTTTATGCATCTGTAATGTAATAAAAAAACTTACGCAAGAGAACCAGCTGGCATCTGTGCATCTGGTGGTTCTGCATCATAGAAAACTTTTTTCAAAGCCTCTAATACAGTAACTCCATCGGTAAAGACGCGATAAGTCAACAAAAATGTGTTAAGAAAATCAATACTAAGAAAGCGCAAGTCAGTTAATCGTTGCAACAGGCGGTCAGGCGTTGCGTATCGTATTTGTGGTACTTTGCATGAATTGAGGGTTCGACTAAAACGAATATCTACGTCATCTTTGAATAGCTTAGGGTCATTTCTTATTGATTGTGGCATTGTTACAGAGCTCGCGTCAGATAAAGAGCCATGCAATAAGTCATTAAAATGTACATTGTCCATGCATTGGCTTATATCACTTATCCAAGCTGCTTTTTCCTATAATATAAAAAGACATGCAATATATATATATTAATAATCGTAACCTAATAGCAATTAATATGTTCTTTCGTACAAACTATTCCATATTTCTTTCAAATTTATAAAAACACTACACAATCATTTAGTTTCACAGTATTACAATTAATCTTCATAATTTTATTATGAAAGGATTGCTGATAAATTAAAAAAAATTGGAAATATGCGACAAAGATGATAGAAAAATTAAAAAAATAAATATGTATAAATTTCAAAAATATATTCAATAATGTTACAAACACGTTTGTTTAGAACATGAATTTTATAGAGCTATTGTAAAAATAACAGTATCATCAATCTACACGTTGTTTTGCAATTATAAGTATATTAAATAATAATATTTGATAGATATTTCTTTGTTGATGTACCTGCATTGTCGGTGCGACAAGATGTATAATAATTTGACGATTTTCTCCGCCTATTTTTAAATCATATATAATTTTAAAATCACGATTTTGAAGCTGTACAGGCAAAGTAGTAGCTGGCATATTACTTCCAGCAGCGCTACTTTCACTGATCCCACTTGACATAGAACATATCGATAATGCTGCAAAGTAATATACATTAATAATAATAAATAAATTTTTGTTTGTTACTTATTTACTTATACAGAATTAAGGAAATCACCATCGTCATCGGAAATATTTTGTTCGTTTGGATCTTCTATCAAAACAGCATCAGAAAGTGGTATTCTACCGATCTGTGGAATTAGATTCAGACGACCGTCATCATCTGATTGGCGAGTAGTCAGTATTAGATGATTAGAAAAAAGAAAACATTGTCTGAGTGCCTCTTTCTCTCCGGTTTTCACACCGAAGGTAGCACTCAAACGGCTACGTGCTCTCCTTGGTTTATCAATTATTTGAATAAGAGTACCTGTAAGAAATGTTAAAAAGTAAGTTGTTAGAAATAATGCAAACTATTTTAGATTTTAATATCTGCTGATCATATTTTTATTACTTTGTATTTATTGTGAAAGAAAAATAATAGGACAATTAATTGAAATTTAATTGATATTGTTAGTGTAATAATTTATTGGTGGTCATTGTATTAAATAATATAGTAGGTTTATTATTTTAGATATCACCTAAAGATTAGTTCAAGTAATTATAGTTTCATATGCCTAATTTTGAAAAATATTGATTAAGTTAAGTTAAATTCATTTAATTCCAAATTGATTTTTTTCATTTAAAAATTAGATCCATACCTTCGGCAATACTTGCATAAATTATTAGTCAAAAGAATTATGGTCCCAATAAATGTAAGTAAGACAGTACGTGAACATGAGAAATGTATAATTTCTTTATTGCTAGATCTTCTTGCTCACACTATATATTATTTTGGTCCCTGTATCTTCTTGCAATGAGGTCATTCCCTTTTCTTGTTACTGATCCCTTCCCTATCAGCGTATTTCGACTGATTTAATTATGATTAATTTTGTTCATTATATTTAATAGAAAGTGCGCGAAAGGAATAGTAGAAGGCACAACGCGTCCAGCCCCAACGGTGGCATTACACGCGTGGTTCAAAATATTTTTTCCCTCGCCAGTGTTAAAATTTTTGAGTGTATTAATGGGTTCACTAGGCACCTTACTCGTTTCTTCAGTTTTAAAGTACACACGTAGTTTACTCAGAAAAACCATGTACTACCCTACGAAAAGCAAGAGTGCGCGTGCGTTCGACAAGTTATGGCCGCGTGCTGTGTGGATGCCCTTATTTTACTTGTTGAAATCGTCCAATCTCTATCGACACTCTTTGCTGTAAGCTGTAGCCAACATGAATCCATATGATTAACAGATATACTGAATATTATTAAAACTTGAGAAATAATTAACAATCGTTATTATAAAGATTTCTTAGGCCTTTAAAATATTAAGTAAATAAGTTTGGAAAATATAGAAAAATCCTTTGTTCAGAGATACTTGTTCCATGTAAATATTTTTTTTAACTTTAATATCATAATAGTTTCGAAGAGTAATCAGCATATCTTTCTAAAGTCTCTCTAACTAGCAACAGCGTTTAAAAGTCAAACAACCATAACAGCTAGCACGGTAACACTTTCTTTAGTGGCAAAACAGAACTGATATAATTATTTTGATTAATTTTTAAGCCTTGATAATGTCCCTTTGTATCTTCAGTTCTAACTATATTACGAGATCATTGCTAGAAACAAGAAGGCATTCACGCACACTTTTATAAACCGGCACGCGTTCTAACAACCGAGTAGTGTTTAGAAATCATACCTTGAGTGGTGTATCATCGATTTTGTCAGGCATCGCGCATGCGTACCACACTCTATTCATCGATAGAATGTACACATTTACACTTTCCTTGTTACCGGCAAGGATGTATTAGATTTCGAACGGTTAGCTGAATATATTGACCGGGAATGGTTGTAAACATATTTTTTCTTTATCCAATAATAATTTACATTTTTACTACTTATAATTTTAAGTAATTTACTACTTATGTTACATAAAATGAATTAGTATACATTCTAATAGCTCAAAATAAGTAAACTGCTTTATACGAAATTTTTCTTTTCCGCATTCTAACCTTCGAATTGTACCTCCGAAGCTTTTTTTTCGGCTCTCATGCGGAGAACTACTGTCCCTAACTAATGCGAAAAGGCTTTTTGACAAAACTTGTTACAACACTCACTTCCGGCTCATGTCATGACTTTTTCATTTGGTTAAATAAGCTTTTGCGTGCCCTTTAGTAAATGTAGTATAATGTAAATTAAAAATTAAAAGCATTATTCGAAATCAATCTAAACTTTCACTAAATGATTACTTAACCTAGTTTTTTAAATAGTTTCTGGGCACTTCGTGAAACTCTTCCGCACGCTTAATATCAAACTTTCTACACGTCACATCAAAAAATACCTTACGATACATATTCGAAAATAATACATTTCTCAATGCGCACGCAAAGGCTTTTTAGCGAAACAATAAGTTCATAGCACAAGTGTAAGACGACTTTCTATTCTTGCTTCACTTGGACGTCAACACCATACAAGATGAGAATCTACTTTCTCGTTTTTATATCGTAATGGACTAGTTCAAAATGCATTCTCCAATAATAAGACTTTATTAAAAAAATATCGACTTGCCATTTTTTTTAGGTTACATTGCAAAGTAAATATCATTTTTTTTTTAAATTTATTTATAACAAGCGAATAGCATACTGAACAAAAAGTAAGATGTCAACATTATTCACAGAAATTATAACTTAATGAATGCAATAACAATAACTACCTAGAAATTATTTAAAAAAATAAATAATGAACTAGAACCTTTAGGTCTTCCGTAAAATACATTTTAATTTTTTTACGAGATATTCCGAGAAAAGGCTTATTTACATTACATAAAATTTCAACAATTTGAAGGCATTTCTTATGAATGTATTCTAACTAAAAAATGTAGTTATAAAATTAGTAATATGTGGCTTATTTAAAAAATATCATAGAAAAAAATATGTAAATTATATTACAATGCTATGAAATTAAGAGGATTTAATATCATTACAAATTAATTTCTAACGCCATTAAACCAAACTCTGAATGATAATAAAACATTTTCCAATTTCTGAGAAATATTAACATATTAATATATATGTGCTTATTAATATCGTCTCTTACCTTGCCGTACAAAAACTTGATTAACGTCCAGTAAAATGTCACAGCCCTCAACAATCATTCTTTCCACAGCTAAATTTTTACGTAAATTTTCTGTTTCACTAACCTAAAGTAGGAATAAACGAATGAATTTTATACATTTTTTCCAAAATTAATAATACGAAAACAGATTTATTAAAAACATTGATATAATACCTCGTCATGCATTTGTCTGGAAAGATCTTCAAGTTGTTGGCGAGCATTTTGAAGACTTTTTCTTTCTACGTGGTCATGTGGTGTGTGGGCCAGTAATTCATGTAGTGTAATAATGTAACGCGGAATCTGAAAATGTTTTTATTTTTCAACTTCAACATATTTTCATCGCTTTAAATTATTATTTTTTTAATATAATATTTTATTATTTATTAACCCTTAACTTGCACACGTCATTTTGGCCACGTAACTGCTCGGTGGGGTAAGTCTACCCCAGCCCGAAAAACATTGAATAAATCAGAGAATTTTAGATATTTTGCTATGAACATTTTTTCTAGTATATTTCAAACCTTTTACTACAAAAAAAATACTCAGGTTAACAATTTTTAATGTTACACATACTGAAAAAAATTGTTGAAAAAAAAAAAAATTTTATTTATTGTTAAAAATTGTCTGGGTTAAATCTACCCCACATAGCAGTTAAGGGTTAAATATTATATTTTATTATTTATCAAATATTATATTAATTATTTCTTTAATATAATAATAGAATAATCAAAAATAATATTATTAAAAAAATTGCATGAGATTTCATAATTTATCAGAATAAACAGAGCAAATAGAACGTAAATAACATTACTTATTTTGCTCATTTGAAACAGTAGATCGATTTTATTTTTTAAGATGATATTCGCTAAGTTAATTTTTTTCATTTTTTAAAAATTCTTGATATCTTAATAACTCTTTCCAATACTAATAAAGTCATTAAAAATCTGCCTGAATAAGATAAATATGAAAATCTCATGAAAACCTTATTAAAAAAGTTCGCAAAAACGCAAGATCAACGCTACCACGAACTGGTTTCTGGAATGATACTTGATTCGAAGAAGCCATTTGATTTTCTAGCGGATATAGTAGCTTTACGAAGCTCATCAGACTTTGAATTTGTTCATTCTTGGTGGAGGCAGAAGTTGCCTGGAGAGACATAACAGGCCTTTGCTTTCACTGGTGACGCGCAGACAATCAAACTTAAGATAGACTAGTCGGTACTCCTTCCAAAATTCAACGTGACACTAGTGCTTAAATTATAGCAGCAGTCAACTCAAATAATAATACTAAAGCAAATGCAGATGTATGAGTTAAGCTCGAACAAATAGTTGAAGACTTCCGTGAACAGATTTGCGTACTCAACATGAGGCAGCTCCAGCATGCATGTTCAAGGTCACGTCACATTGTCGTGATTGATTTTCTAAAATTGAATAATACGAGCCTACAATCGAATTCCACTAACGGAAAAAAAATATTGAGGAGTCAGCGATCATCACACTTTTCAGCCTATTCAAATATTTATACATGATGTTTGGACTTAGAAATTGAACTCAAATGTTCCAGCGCTTTATCAATATGATTCTCAAGGGACTAGACTTTGTTTATAAATATCTTGACATCCTTATTATTTCCAAATCTCCAGAACATATGTGATATCTTCGAGTCGTATATCAACGCTTATGATATTACGGATTCAAGGTCAATGTTGACAAGCGTGAATTCAGCAAACTCGCACTGGACTATGGAGCACATCGCCAATTCCGAGAATAGCACGGCTCACGCACTTTCCAGGATTAACGCATTACATTTTCCTATTACTATTGCTTTCATAGAACTCGCAAAAACACAAGAAACGGATAAAGAACTCCCACAATTGTTGCGGATCAACTCAAGGTCACTTAAGTTACAGAAGCTTATCTTCGGATCAAATTACCGAGTCATCCACTGCGACATATCGTCAACCGACATAAGCCCCTTTGTACCTCAACAGTTCCGTAAACAGGTGTTTGAAGTTTATTATGAACTTTCGCACCCCAGCGGCAGAATTCTTACACGAACCGCCTCGCAACGTTACGCCTGGCCTTTCATGCACAAATATTTGCAACGCATGGCTAAGGAGTGTACTCAATGTCAACAATCCAAAAGTTAGTCATCATGTACATCAACTTCCAGCTACATTTACATATTCAGACGCCCGCTTCGGTCAGCTCTACATAGACATTGTTGATCCACTGCCCAATCCGAAGTGAATGGATTCAGATATTGTGTCATAAGGGTAGATCGCTTCATATGCTGGCTTAAAGTTATACCAATACATGACGTCTCTACTGATACTATAGCAAAGGTTTTTTTCACTGATTGGATGGCAGAGAATCTTGAATCAACGTAGAATGTTTACCACACTTACTCAATGCACTCTCACTCAGCCTACACCGACACAGTAAGTACCGAATACTTCAACTCAACCTCTTGTGGTACAATTATTTATTATACTCAGTCACCCTTGGCTACACATACCATACAAACTAGTGAACGACGCCATCTGTTTATGAAAATGTGTTACGAAATAAATGCCATCACAAGTAACAAACGTAAAATTATGAGACTAACGAAATCTCATGAAAGGGTGGATCTCGCAAATTTTCCGTCATAGTTGAATTCTCGAGAACGCCAGATGGATTAACATTGAAAAAACAATATTAATTAACAGTAGTAGTTTTTTCAACATGATAAATCCTTTGCGCATGATAATTAATTAACATCAAATATAAGCTGATTATCATCAGATTATGAGTAATCTAAATGTAATTGTGTAAATAAAGAGGTCAATCAAGGCAGATTTTAAATCAAATTCAAATCTTAAAAATGGGATAGTTTATTCCATATGTGGTAATAGCTGACAAACGTAAAATAACTCTTCTAAACTTCATTGGTAAAGATAAACCAAGTGCGATGAGTTTACGGTCATGGGAATTGTAGGACTTTTTTATATTACGCAGTCATCGAGATATATTTGGACGGTAAAGATATCTAATTGACTGGAAAAGCCGCTCTTTTTAATCGTTGGTTTCCAAATTAATTGGAAAAATAAAGAGAACGGAAATGCAACTCGATTTGATCTCTATTGCATCACAAACGTGAAACTCTTTTTTGATTCCTATGGAAATCTAAATCAGTTTACCTTACAATATGAACAATATAAATGTCAATTTCCAAAGCACCTACTACAACAAAAATCCAGAGCTGGCATTAACCAAGACGCAATTAATCAATCACATACCTTTGATCTTTATCGACTGCTCGACATAGAATGAGACCATAAAGATGTTTATAAGACCATAAATCTGTCGATGTTCGTCTAGAATTCGAATGAAAGATAACTTTTTTAAAATGCGAACTTTTAGAAAGTATTCATCTCAAATAAGGAAAGAGATATCGTGTCAACCACGCGTGACCCTCGCACTCTCAAAAGTGCACAATTAGCAGAAAAAATTCACGTCTACTACATTTTTCATCGGGATAGCTCTGGAACAAAAGAGTGGAAACAGCCTAGAAGAGATCGCGCACTTTTATAGTGTAATGCACGTGTACTCAATAAAATTTATTGGATTGAAGTTTAGGTAGATATAGCTAATTGGTTGTATTCCACAGGTCGGAGCGAAGTTGAGCCCTCACTACATAAATCCTTTTTCGATTAATATAGTAGACTTTTTCTATTTATTACTCTGCTCTGATTGATTAAAATAACTAGGCTCAATTCTACGCTGCTGTATAAATATAACCATACTACATAATTTAATCCGTTATCAAGATGGGTCAATCATAAAGTGATTATACGCTCGTCGTAAAAAAGTTGACGAGCAGAAAAAAAGTGGAAAAAGTATATGCATCCTGACAAATATACAAATAAATATTCTTTATACTGAAGGTAATTATAAAAAGTTATAAAAATAAATAAGTTGTATCGAGTTTCACAATCGCTCAATTTATTTCTGTTTACTTTAAGAAGACATTTCTATAATGTATACGAAGTCAAAAATAAGGGGTTAAAAATTAATTTCTTCTTTTGCACCTAATAATTTATCGAAATTGACGTTTTGACAAAGAGATTTAGTTGTCTTAAAACTCGATACCTACGGCCCAAAAAGAAATTACAACCTCGTACTTTGGGCATCTCTTAGTAAACTATTAAAAATAAATCAGCTACTAATTAAAATATTCAATCGTGTAATAAGTCTTTTTTTCATAATCATAAGAACTTCCGTTTTATTTAAACAAAAATTTAAAAAAGTATTTAGTGATATGTTAAAAATGGCCATTTTCGAGGGTTATTGGTATTTTGCAATAGCTAATAAACAAAAATATTTGCACGACCGTTTAAGTTGTAGCTCATGGAATCCTCTATAACTTATGTTGCAACTTTTTTCAGATGAAATGTATACTATGGCTTGCAGTCTGTAAACCTGTTTTTGTCAACTTTGAGCCCTCATAACAAATTATCTACGCAAAATCTTTAGTTGCATTTTATATGAGGTTTTATATACATTTCTCTAAAGAGATCTACTTGGAGTTTTCTATCTCTCCATTTTTGCATGAAAATTTCTCTATTGATTGGACTCAGCGGCGCTTGCTGCGGCTGCGCTACGAGAACATCGACGGCTATATTTTTCCTGTACTTATTTGATCCCGTATCAGCTCTATTTATCTACTAATAGGCCTTTCAATGATTTTTCATGAGTTACATCTAGAATATTTATCATGAAAAAGTGCTAAGTAAATTTATTTAATTATATTAGAGTATAGAAGCATGCTAATGCGGTGTATCACTATGTTCATGTAATAATTTTTCAATTGCTTCCGGACTTTGAATGATACGTTGATATTGAGGCTGAATATATAATTTTTAATATTTTTTAAATTAAAATACAGATATAATTTCATTTAATTATTATAAATATTGACTTCATAAAATACCGAAGCTTATTGAATTATGAAAATATTTAATTTGCTGTTGCTTTACTAGTTAAAACAAGTATGTGGAAAGACAGTGCAATTTTGATGAATCAAGACGTACAGTACGATTTCAATTCTCTTGTAGGCTAGGAAGCTAACATAAAAGTAGCTCATTCAAAAATTGGTTCATGAACAAGTTCCAAATTATATAGTAAGATATAAGGGGCGAAAAATTAAATCTATCCTTGTTTAACACTTTCTATTGTGGGATCAATAGTGGAGGTTGCGTAAGAAAATTGGTCGTATAAAAAAATTAAAATTACATTATATAATAAAAGATAGTCATTACCTGGTGCATGGGATACATAAGAAAATTTTCAATAGATCTGCCATGACAAGCACTTTTGTTTTCCAGTCTACTCAATAACGCGGCAAACAACGACGATTGTTTGCACTCGGTGAGTACTTGAAGACTGTAATGATGGTTTCTTACGTACTCTTGATAAATTGATAGCATTGGGAGTAGCATATCAAATAAATCACCTGAAAATTAATATAAAAAAGCTCAAAATTAATTGTAAATAAAATCTTGGACTATTTTACAATTTACCTAAAACTAAGGTTGGCCAACTTTCCATTCGTGAAGTTAAACCTTTAAGAAAAATTTGATGCAGAAATAATACAGTCTCGCTATTTAAGAAAATACTATTAACATCCTCATGACTGCACGGAGGATTTTTTGAGCTTGCTGCCATTTTCAATGGCCTTAAAAAACAACTGACTAGTACTTCCATTTGTTCCGTATATTCCTCTTCCGCTTCCACCATTTTAAATACTAAGCTAAAATACATTCAGAAATCGTTGAAATAATCAAAACTCTATGAGCATTATACGTCAAAAACTATATATCTAGTTTATTTGTTGTTCGAAACTTCAATCTTTGCAAATCTTTGAAAATACAATTCTCACTCAAACATTGCAGCTTTGCATTTTGTTTTCAACTTTTCTTCAATAATATTATTTTATACAGTACTTAACAATTTCTTGCTTTCCCGAGCTGCTTGCGCACACCTAGTTTGCTTGTAAAATATTATATTTTATTCTGTTTCTATATAAATGATGAATGCATCTGTGATGATCGTATGCAATAAGTTCCATTCATCAATAATAAATTTGTTTATCTGTACACGTTGTAACTGAACAAGAAATAGCGATTGATTTCATTGATAAATATTTAATTAGTAATTGTTTAAGCCTTAAAAAGAGGAATTTATTATATTCACAGAACGTTGGCAACATAAATGTTTGTTAAGTAAATTCATACTCTAAAAGATCTTTGGGCGCATAAGCTTAGTTTCTGTAAACTCATATCTATAACCAAATGTTATAGACCAGGTTCGATTTGCACAGATACTGGTTCTAAACAATTTAATTCTATACAAATTTGTTAATTTCATTTATTTAACATATTACTTTTTCTTTTTAATTTAACAGAAAAAATAAAATAGTATTTATTATAAAAAATATACTATTAAACATGTAAATTGTTTACAGAAAATTTGGTTCGGAAATAATTAATATAAAGTATTACATAAAATATTTAAGCATCATTAAAAAATTATAAAATTTACAATGATGTGTAGTATATTTTATGTCAATAAATCGTTTGTTAATTTTTCCATAGAAAAATATAATATCAGATAATTCATTTTCTAACTAATTCAAAAATTAAAAATTTTTATCGAATAAAATTATGCATAATCGACATCTGTACAAAATAAATGTGACCATTCAGTACTATACTTCATAAAAATTTCGAGTACAATATAAATTAAGACATGTTTTTAGGTGTATTTCCAGCCATAGAATTTGATATAAAAACGAGAATAATGTTATTTATTTGGTTTTTCATTGATGTCAAAAAAACAAGAAAACCATTAAAAAATCGCGTTTTTATTTTTATTAATATCAAAGTTCCAGACAATAGTTTGGAAAATTGTAATAGGAATAGAAATAACTTATAAATTTTCAGTTACAAAAGGGTTTATAACTTCTTTTAAAACTAATATATTTTTTAATTATATTATCGTTGTAGTATCAATTTATACAGAATAGTTATTATTAGTATTACTAATATTGACAATTATGTGAAGATTAACGTATTAAACGACATTTTCGGATTTTGGTCCGATTATATTTTTGTTATTTCTTTTCCTATCACACTGTCAAAATTTCAGTACTCATGAGGTATTTGCAGTTTTAAAAAATCTTAACTTACCTATTTCTTTTTCTCATGCTTTCAGCATGTGGGCTTTTAATGTATTGTTCGACGATTTGCTTCCATCGACGTCTGCATAACCAGCCCCGAAAAAAGCTTTGTACTTTTTTAATTTTCTGCATTTCGATGCTTCCTTCTTCAATATCTCTGAATCCAGTGTGATGATCTTCGCCCACAAAGTTAAAGCTTGAATCCAGATGTCCTCCTAACAAACTTGGATTGTTATTGCAACTTGTTCTTCTTTTTTGAAAATTTCCATGATTTGCATAGGCACCTGTTATGTTTGGGCGAAGTTCTTTCTTTAGAGCACACAACTGAAAATTTGATAAAAGAACATGTCAATAACAATTTTGTTTGCCGCGAGCTGAATTATTTTCATTTCTAAATATATTTTGTAAAAAGTTCTCTGAAGTTTGAAAACTATATAATTTATGACTAATGATACCAAAACATACTTATTAGTCAATGGAATAACTTTAATTTATTACACATTACATATATAATAATTGTTCAAAATGACTATATGTACGGGTAGTGCGTGAAAATCTGGAATATTTCGGACATGCGAGTAATAAACACTTTACTCGCGTTCAATATTTAATTTGCGTTCTTTATCTAATCTATTTTCCGTCGGGATTAGTTGTCAATGTCCGATACTCTAATTTTATGATATATGGTCCGAGCCTGCAGAGCCAACATCCAAAAATTTAAAGAATATTTACAGTTGACTTTCAAGCTAGCTTCTTGAAGCGAGATCAGCAATAAGTTATACGCTCAGATGTGCATTCTGGCGAGCCTTCTTGAAACGCAATTTATTAGTCTTCTTCAAAAACAAAAAAAAAGGAGGGGGGTCTCAAAAAGCTAAAATTTGTGCGAACGATAGTGTTGCATTCGCTTACTTTTCGTTTTTTTATGAGTTTTGTTCCGTTCAGGCGTGAACGCCATTGAGCTATTTCAATACTCTATTTTTTATGATGGTAACCGACCGTCAGAGAGCTGAATTTCATAAATTCGAAAAAACAATGGAGTTTAAATATTGTTCTCGATAAATTCAAAGAGTGTGCGTAAATTCAAATGTTCTCAGCTTTAACTAGCGTTCTCAGATACGACAAAAATATTTTTATATAGAAACGAGGTACGAAAATAGCGAGAATGAAAATAAGTAGCATCGTAAAGCATAATTCAAAAATATCAAATGTATTTGTATAATTAGATATAAGACGCATATAATTGGATTGAAAGTAGAACGTATATTCAGACTTAACAGTTATAAAATACGAGCAGAAATTATAAAACGTAACAGAGATCGATAATTAACTTCGTAGCAAAAAAATAGCACCTGGATTTACTAAAAGTACAGAGATAGATAATTATTTTCTCTCTCTCTCTCTCTCTCTCTCTCTCTCTCTCTCTCTCTCTCTCTCTCTCTTGCTCTTTGCTGCGCCAGAAAATACACTACTGAAGATATTTGTATTATCGTTTAATGAAATAATTAATTTAAAAAGAATTTAAAAGAATTTAGTCTAGTAAAAAGTTTGAGAATATCTTTTCACTCCTATCTCGATATTTTTATTAAATTTTCAGTTATATAGCGACGATTTATAAATACTGAATGAAAAATTTGTAACCTCAGTACGAAGTTTCTTGATCTCGGACGTAAGCTCTTCACACTGTTGCGTATACTGCCATTTTGCTGTTTTCTCACTTTCAATAATTTGTAGCAGATGTAAATGCTTTTGTTGAAGTTCTTCTTTCTGAAGAAGCATTTTGTTAAAGCTAAAATATTATATAAATATAATTTTATGCATTTATAAACATAATTTTAAATAATAATTTTTAGAGATTACAGTTAATTAAGTATATCATTATTTTGATTTGAAATATCTTAAGCAAGCCAAACACACGTATACTTGAAAATATATACTTTTTAGAGAAAGTAGTCACTTGCTCATTAGATCTTGTTATCTCGGCTGTATACTATTGATATTTGGCTCACCCAGAGCATACGAATAACTATTTTATTTCAAAAGTATGTATTTGATACAAAATTAATATCTAAGATTACCTATATAACAAATATTTTTACAGATTATATATGAATTACCTAGCTTCTCTTATTGCTTCTATCCACATATTACAATCTGCTTGTGTCGGTGATTTTAGTTCATACTGGCGCTGATTTTCCCTTCTGTACGATATAGCGAAACACATCTGTAAAGGTATTTAAAAAATCACAAAATTTTAGCAGCATATAATTTTTTTTAGAAAATGCTGCTCGATTAATCTCGTTACATTAGCTGTAATTAAGAAGAGCATTAAAATTAAAGGTTCAAAAAATATTTGTAAAAAATGTAAAAATTGTTGAAATTTATATGATTGATATCATGTTAATTTATATTATGAATTATCAAATATGATTCTCAACAACAACTGGCACTCGAATAATATTTATTTTCATTAATATTGACTTTTTCAAGTTTACTTGTAATTGACTTTCTGTATGTAGGTAAATATTTATTTGAAATAAAAATTGTTTCAATTTTTATATATATCTCCTAATTTATAATTTGATGAATAATTTTCAGTGAGTTATGGATTTATAATATCATTCTGAGTATTATAATAAGAAATAAAGCTATTGATTTATAATGAAACTTTTCAACTGTTTATTGAACATTATCAAATTTAAAAGTTCTAAATGAACTAATTTACATGACCTTCGAAATTAAACTTAATGAAAAATATCGTTAACAAAACAAACCTAACAAATGAATATCATTCTAATAAAATCCATAGTATAAAATTACAAGTATTAGTTGTTTCTTGAATTTGACCTTTATGTGTTCTCAACACGTGACCTTGAGATCAAGGACAGCCACACTTATGAATCGCGTTATTGTTAACAGATCAAAACTAGTAAGTGAATATCATTTTAATAAAATTCACGATATAAAATTGTAAGTATTTGTTGTTTTCAAATAACCTTGAGTTTAAGGATATAAAATTTTGAAATGTTATACTTCAAGTACTTCCCGTACAGGTATTTTAACGTCCTTGATTTGTAAGACTTATATTTTTCAAACTGACCTAGAACTATAAAATGTTAGTGGTTTTTCCATAATTTTCCGAGTCGTGTAACTATATTAAAAAAAACAATGCAATTTTTCAAAATTTTAGCCTCCGTAAGTTTTTTCAAAATCAATTACGAGTATGTAAAAAAATTTTTACTTGAAATTTGAGTTTTCTAACCATTTCTGAAACAATTTAAGTCTAAATTTTGTAGTGTACGGCGCACAATGACACAGCAGACGAACTGCAGTATACCTCACGTATCACGAAAATATTATTAATTTCGTTTTCTACGTCTAAGAAATATACAAAAGAATAATAATTCCGAAAATTCGTTATATATTTTAAAAAATTTATAATTTTTCAACAATCTATGTCATGAACATAATATGTAGAACAGTACATTACGATACAAGTGCGGGAAAATAGATTCTTGTCTCGTTTGGCGTTTACTTTTTTTTATTTTTTATTTTTTTTTTTTATTTATTTATTTTTTTTTCAAAAGGTACACGAGACGAGAAACTCTTTCCCGAACATGTGCTGTACTGTATTTTTTTATACGACGTGTGGAAAGTGCGATTTTCAATGCACGTTTTTTGCCGAGCGTGCGGGAAAAACGACTTTCCGCACGGAGTGTCGAAAAGTTCTTACCAATAAATATAATGTATGTTTTTTGCAACTTTTACGAAGTTTGTTTATGCATAATTTGATATTTACCGATTTAGCGATAGAGGTCGGGGTAGTTCTTAAATTATAAGCAGTAGCGTGTCTTGTCAGAACTATTTTCAGTTTTTATCATGCCTCCTATTGTTAATACTTCAAATATCAATAAATATTATTGAATATAATTGAAGTTGTATTTATTTTATTCGAAAAATACCAATAAATTCAGTTGAATAATAACGCTTATTCATTAAGCAACTGTAAATCTAATAATATTAACATCAATCTTGTGATGGTAGATATGAGTAAGAGATTTGTCCCAAAAGTATCGAGTTTACTTCCCCATCTTCGCATTGGTGTTATTCTTTATCATTCGGTGAGTAACATCCTTCAAAGTAGTCCCTATTTAATTGAATAACACGTTCCCAACGATGCTTCTACTTCCTGAATCAGTCCTCGAAGTCAGGTTTCGGAATTTCCTTTATTGCGTACGTCGCATTCGTTTCAACCGTCTCTTTGTCATCAAACAGGAGTTCTTTAAGTGGCATTTTTAATCTGGGAAAGAGCCAAAAATGGCAGGGAGCTACGTCAGGGCTGTATTGAGACTGGAAAAACTGTACGACTTGGCGCTTTGTCAAATATTGCTACACAAGCTGTGATAAATGCGCTGATGCATTGTCGTGGCGAAGCAACCAATCACCTGTGGCCGTTTTCTTCTGACTGCGTCACGCAATCTTTTCAATATTTCAATGTAGTATTTTTTAGTGATCGTGTAACCTCTTGGAGCATATTCGTGGTACAAACACCTTCATAATCAAAGAAAACAGTCAACATTGTCTTCATCTTACTCCGACTTTGATGTGCTTTTTTGTGGTCTTGGCGATTTAGAATAGTTCCACTGTGAAAACTGTCACTTTATTTCTGAATCATAGCCGTGAACCCATGACTCGTCACCAGTAATAATCTTCTTAAGTACATACAAAATTGTATGTAAAGTCGGTGATATAATTTTTCTGTCATTTTTTCGAATAATGAAATGCGACAAAGGCAACAAATACACTATAAACAGTTCAGTCGCTGACTGCGCACACCAATGAGTTCGTGAAGACTTACTGGTGACACCTATGCCCCACAGAGGTGGCTCAGAAGTTTTGACGCAAAAATGTGAAGGTAGGCTCAATACTTTTGGGACAAACCTTGTATAGTTAATAAAAGTGCTTAAAATAATCTTAACAAAATGGAACTTTTAAATAGTTATTTCTTTTGTTATAATACTTCACTCTGTTGGACATTTGATTAGGGGACGCTCTCAATAAAAGAAACTTTTGACGTCAGATTCGGGAAGAGCCAGAAATTTTTCGTTTAGAATAATAGCTTAAACATTTTTTTGGTTTTAGAATTTCTGGGTAATGCTAAAAGTAAGATTAAGAACAGAACAGAAATTTTCCATGTAATAAAACTGTTTCAAAATGAGTTTCACATTTAATATAAGGTTAAAATGGTCAGTCAGTAACCCCAAAACATACTAAACCATCAAGAATTCGAAAAAACTATTTTTAGACGAATTTTTAATATTTGTTTCTTATTAAAAAAAACCTTTTACTTTCAAATGACCTTGAAAATTGGCACTATTGTTAAAGTTATTATTGTAGTTAATATTAAACTTAATGAAAAATATCGTTAACAAAACAAACTTGACAAATGAATATCATTCTAATAAAATCCATAGTATAAAATTACAAGTATTAGTTGTTTTTTCATAAATAACTTTTGATTGAATATTTCGTATTTATAAATAAGTTTACTAAAGTTATAAAATATGAATATGACTAGTTTTTAGATATTCATTAACGTGAATGGAGTATATAACCATAATTAGTTATTCTTATTAATTTGTTATTTATTATTCTTAATACTTTCACGAAATTTACCTGAAAAAACTATGGAGATGAAATATTTCGAGCTAATCCTGCAAGATGTAGTAACAAACAAATTCTAAGCATGTGTTTGTACGTTTTTAATTTTCTATGAGAGCTGCTAACGTCTCTTATACTCATATATGTACTTACATGTACACACACGTGCGCGCACGCGTGCACAAACGCACTTGTTTATGTAGAGCATCAGCAGTGTATAAAAACGCCTATGCTTATATATGTGCAAAAAATGAGCATGGTATTTGTAAAAATTCGCTTCAACATTAAAAAGTACCTGTTTATCGGGATCTTTGCCCTTTGCTGTGATTAAACGGTCACAGTAACATCCCTCCAGCAATATGACCCCACTAGGTCGAATGCAAGCTTCATTTTCGTAGTAAAAAAGCAAATTCTGAAAATAAATTACTGTAAAGGTATACAGCTATCAAAGCTCTAAATAAGTACATAATGAAAATCACAGAAACTTCTAACCTGATAGAGTACAAAATAGCGAATCTGCCACTTAGTCGAGTCGGCAGTGCGCTTATGCAAATATCCGGCTACCGTGTGATCGAACTGGGCTTTTTCCGAAAGCATCACCAGCTGGGATTCATTCACTCTCACTAAAACGAAACATCATTATGTAATGTTATTAGCTTTCACAGAGTTTTATTTGATATTTTTGCTTAATAACTATACTTTCTCAATGTACAAATAAAATTTTAAACAGTCTCAAGACTGTTAAAAGGAAAGTCATAATTTCAATAGAAATCTGAATTCATTTTACGTACAACTGTATTTGAAAAAATTTTATAGTTTTTATTGAAAAGTTTCATGTTATAAATTTCTATTTAATTCATGTTTTTAAAAATGCAAAATATAAATTATCAAAGACGAAATTTCGAGTTAAAATAGTATTTAGTGAAAAAAGTTCAAAATGTGCTGTAATTTAAAAAATTGTTTTGTCAATGAAACTGGTGATATAATATAATTCTTTTTTTGAATCACTCAAAATTTACATTGAATGGATAACGAACGACATACATTTTCCCATTTTCCGTTTCAAAACACATTCTAAGGATCGACATAGGTGCAAGAAAGCAATTTAAGAATTAGTCGATTAAAGTGAAAGGGGGGGGGGGGGGGGGTAATCATAAAAAAATCATAAAAAGAAAATATCTTTAACAATATTAAATATCACGTAAGTTCATGGTATTACAAAAGTGAATCGGTAAGTATCTTACAACTCACCATTTCTTTGCATTTTTGGACTAAGCATGATTGTCGATAAGAGGACTAGAAGGAATTTCGATTATGGTTTTTTTTAACGACCATGTATAGTAGTAGCTTTGTGTGCTTTGTCGGCGGCGCGCCCGATGTCGTCGGTGAGTCATGCGTTTATAGTCGGGCATGCTCGCCTCACTGCTGTCGCAACAGGTAAGCGCAGCTTCTCCTCTCCGCCGACAGCTACCGCTGCTGTTGCTTCTACCACCGTTAACTGCGAACATCCCCAAAAGCCAAGGGGGTCAGGTTAATCGATCGCTATGTGGACTCCGAATACAAGTCTCGTGTACACTATAGCTATTGCTGCAGTTGGTCACATTCTTTTTTTAATCTTCTCATAATGTGTATAATTTTGTATTTTATCAATAGAATTTTGAAACTGATTTATCAGTAACATAATTAATAAAAAAGCTTGTTTATCTCTACCGATCTAGAAAAAGATAAACTACTGATTGGTGTGAAAGTCTTCTTATTCGAATTGAGTCATGTCAATATATATATTTTTGATAACTCAAGTCACTGCTTTGTTAACAAGAAAAACGAAAGATCAGAAAATTAAGAAATTGTATCTATTAATCAAATAAACTTCCTCTAATGTGGCTAAATCCATGGCACTAACATTATATTTACGCAATTATTAAGTGTATAGATTTCTTTTACATAAACTATTATTTTAGTGAATTCGGGAATAACTACATTAACAATAAATAAATAAATACAATTTTAAGAGCTAACTCAAAGTTTAAAAAACAATTCAAAAACACTATTATTCTTCGATAACGTACGTTTCATTGGATAATGACCAACCTCTTCAGATCTTATTAAAAATAATAAACAACAAAGTCAACGACAGTCGAGTCATAAATATTACGTACTAGTATAATTGTAGAACATAAAATTTGTCAATAGATTTTTCTTTTTCCCTTTTTACCTTCTAAATCGACTAGGTAAAACCAGTGTTTTATTGTTTGTGTTTCTCATTTTTAATAAGATCTGAAGAAGTTGGTAATTATCCAACGAAACGTACGTTATTGAGAAATAATATTGTTTTAAATTAGTTTTTTTTACTTTGGGTCAGTTCTCAAAATTTCATTTATTTATATAGAAAGAATAAGAAGGCAATGAATATTAGTTTACATTATCAATATAAACTTCAAAGTACTAAAAAAGTAATAAAATTACGAATTATCTATATTTGAATTTTGCGAATATATGCAATTTGATTAATTTGTGTAACGAAGTCAAAAAACTATCAATCAATACTAATTATAAGTTCATCAACAATCATAACTTAATATGACGTTGATGATTTACATTTATTTATTAAAATCAAATTTTATATAATATCTTAAAAATCTAGCATTGGAATTCATAAAAAATCCTACCCATGAAAATTGATTCAAGCATATATTTCTTCACAAAAGAAAACAGAAATTATAAGAGGAAGAATAATGGTATCTTTGAAAAACCATCGGTAGCTCTTGTAGTTTGTAAGTTGTTCGATAAAAATAAATGAAATTAGTTTTACTAATATGTTTCTTTTTCTTAATCTCGACCAATAGAAATGTTTTGTTAAATATCAATTAATAACTTTATTAATGCTAAATATTAAAAGATGTTTATTATTTAACTTTGTGTTTTAATATACAGAGTATTTTAAAGCGAAAATTTCAATGTTATTGATTATGCAAACATTTTATAGTTAAAAGCTGCACTGTAGATTATCCATATATGAAAGCTCCTAATAAAAATTGATTACATATTCTTATTAGAAAAGAAATCGAAATTTCATCTAGATAATTACGAATTCAGTTAATGATAAACTTCAAATATTTTGACTATAACGTTTTATCTGATATTTCTTTTACTTTTTTTTACGCTAAGTGAATTTAATGTTTGCTTTTTCTGCTCAACTGTAAGCTCTATACTAAGCTTTTTTACTCAATGTGAATTGAAATTTAAAGTTAGAACAAACTTTTATTTGGAATATTTATAAATAAGGAAAAAAAGGCATTTCTTACAAGATATTAAGCTTGACTGAATCATCGATATTCTTCTATCGCTATACTACTGTTAATAATCGGATTAGAATAGCTAACTTTATAGGATACTGCTTAGAATAGAAAAACAATTTTTTTAATGCTCAATTTTAATAAAAATTTAGAAGACTGTTGATCAATTTACGCGGTAGAAAGGTGGTCAACTTATAGAAAAAATTTCTACATAAGACAATTGAATATTGCTGCCTTTATAAAAATCTGATTAACAACAGGAAGTGGCCAACGTATAAAGGTAATCAACTTGAGAGGTTTCATTATCGATTTAAAATACTTTGTTTTAACGCCCATAAATAAGAATTTTATTTGAATAATAATTCAAGAACCAAGTTTGATGTGACTGGGTAAGAAAAAACTCAAAATGTTATAAAAATGCTTACTTGAAATGATTTTAGAAAACCTGTAAAAAGTAAAGTTAGTTAAGAGCCAACTTTACATTTTAATAATAAATCAAAATATTTACTTTATAGAAGAAGTAGTGTTGGAAAACAAAAATACTAGTATTTTTAATTGAATATTAACGCTATTGCTAGTAAAAAGCCGAAAATACACGTTTTGAAAGCAGCAGAAAGCACTAACGTCTGCAATCCGATTAAACGTCTGTTAATAGAAAGCTTCTACTTATGCTTTTAGATGCTGACTATTCTGTCAATATTCCCGTACTGAATGTATAGATAAGTAACAAAAAATATATAAGATTAAAAAACTGTCATACCTTACTGCGGCGAACATACATCAGGTAAGTCGTTGCCACGACATCCATATAAATTTAATGGAATCTGATAATTTACTGTAGTCTACACTATCAAAATATTAATATTTGATAGTTATTTGGTTAGCAAAATGATAACACGTGTTGGTTAGCAGGAGCACAATGAACAGCAAAAGCAACAGTTCTGACGCGATGCTTCACCATAGTGAGAAAATGAGACCGTGACCGAAGCGGGTCGCCGAGTGAGCCTTGCGCAGCTCCAGTAGCTCGCCAGAGCTTTTCCCGACCTCCCCACCTGTGCGTCCTCCATCCCATCGCCCGGCTGTGAGCCTACCATCCTGCCTCGCTCTTGTTATTTTCGTCTCGCTCGCTCACTTACATTGTCCCCCCTGATTCTGATCTCGACGCTTTCCTTGCGTTATACTTACGTATGCTTGTACATTTTTTCGTCCTACTTTTCTTTTCATTTTTGTATCAGTTAGTCGCTAGTTTTATATTGCTGTTCATATCATTTCACAGTAACTAGCGTCATTTTCCACTTTTGTGCATAGTCTAAAGCATAATGATAGTATCATGTCGGTTGAAATAAGCAAGAGTTAAGCTCTTACAATATCGTAAAATATATGCTTGTCCTTGACCTTTGTACCGACCCTGAAGATATATCGGAGAAGTATTTTGATGAAACTTCTTGCTTATCAACAATAGCTTTTTCAATGGTGGTGTATTGTCGGAAATATAAATATTCTGTAATATTAGCTGTATGTATGAATAAATTTAAGCTATCACTGCTATCAAATATAGACGTTTAGTTTTTTCTATTTTTTAATTGATTTTGCAAGTATTTTTTTTTAATATCGTGTAAATGTTTTGATAAGATTGTTAAATCTTATTCATTATCAAATTTGTTTAACACTAGCTAACTTCCTCAAATATTCAGTTAATATATTATCAAGTGTGCACGCATAGCAAAATATGGTGATGTAATGTGTGTTAGCATGTGTGTGTGTGTGTGTGTGTGTGTGTGTGTGTGTGTGTGTGTGTGTGTGTGTGTGTGTGTGTGTGTGTGTGTGTGTGTGTGTGTGTGTGTGTGAAGTATGTAACCCAACGCAACATATAAGAATAACGAGAAGCAACAATGGCCTCCAATTTTATTATAAGAGCATATTGAAACCGTGGTTGTGTAGTCAAGACTTGAGATTTGCAAGTCCGAGACCTTGACTTCAAGGCCTAGCTTCATTACTTTTTAATTTAGTTTATAAAGATCTCTTTATGAGCAACAATATACTTATCTCAAATTGAAAAATACAGAAATACAGAAATACAGAAATACAGAAATACAGAAATACAGAAATACAGAAATACAGAAATACAGAAATACAGAAATACAGAAATACAGAAATACAGAAATACAGAAATACAGAAATACAGAAATACAGAAATACAGAAATACAGAAATACAGAAATACAGAAATACAGAAATACAGAAATACAGAAATACAAAAATACAAAAATACAAAAATACAAAAATACAAAAATACAAAACACAAAAATACAAAAATATAAAAATACAAAAATACAAAAATACAATCTGGCTGATTGATTCACAACTATGTTCTGCTGAAAAGTATGTAAAATTTGACTAGTAGTTGTTATCGAAGGACAAGTAAGGATATGACGTATTTAGCTAAATCAACAATATTCTACTAAATGTAGGAAACTAATTTATATAAAAAGTAGTTTACAAAAATATTAATAATTTTGTCAATGATAAAAATTACTTTGAAATCCTTGCCATAAATATTTAATTATAAAAAAAATTATACAGCTAATGGAGAATGGAAGAAAGTAACTAATCGTAGGAGACTCATGAAAAATTCCATAAAAAAACATAAAGAATCACCGTTTTTAGAATATTCAAATAACGAGTTTTTATGCTACAAAGACTTTTTTTAAATTATAAGAACTAAAATTGGAAATAAAAATATTTTGAATACCATCATATTGGAAAATGTATTTGAAAGAGTGCGCTTACTTTATAAGATAGCTAATATGCATGTGTGTAAAATATTGTCTTATTTTTTAGCGCATTCGTAGATTCTTATATATCTTAAAACTATTCTTTACAACCGAAGACTTAACAAAATAAATGGATAAACATTTGTGCGATATAACATTACATACCATATCTTCTTTTATCCTGGGGATGATCTCGTAAATCCGGCTTAAGAGTTCGAAAAACTCGAGCCCGCTCTAAGTTGTGAATCAATCCCAAGCTTTTGTAGAAATCTACAGTAATTTTGTTTATTTACTTGATTATTCATGAAACATCATCAAATTAGTGACATTTCAAAATTATCTAATTAACTACATACGCTATTGAACAATATGTCATTTGTATTATGATGAATTCTGAGATGTACTCGGTACTGTTCAAATTATTGAGTACGACGTTTTTATATAGATAGTGCAGAGATGTCCGGAATAATGGACGCGTAATTAAAATAATATCCGTTCGTTCGACAAAGTATAACATATTTTTTTTAATTTGTTAATTTAACATTGATTTCTTATGAATGTAATATTTTCTGCAAAGTTAAAAACGTTAAAAAATTATGAAGCTTGAAGGCAAAGTATCCGAAGACATACCCGCGTAACTTTTTTTTAAAATGGTATTTTTTCATCGGCACAGCTCCGATTTTGTATCTTACACGTCAAAACATTGCGTAATCCGTGTATGTTCTTGAACCTGGGGCTTTAGAAGTCTACTACCAAAAGCATCACATCAGATTTTCAGTTCTATGAAAGTTACAAGGCTTTGTTTGTTGATCAAATTTATTATGAAACTTTCTGAATCTCATCGATATAAACGCGATTTTGTATCGTATATGAATGAGAAAAAAGAAATTAGAGCAGAAAAAATGATGTTTTATAAATTATATTGGTAAAAGTTGAAAGTTTATAATGTTATCGAACAAATTTATATGATGTATCAACATGTGTGAAATTTTTTGGATAGAGTGCCTACTGCTGACTAAAAAACTCAGAGTTTTGTTTACATATTTTTCCGATTGATTCGATGAATGTTAATATACAGTCGCGCAATCTGAGAACTCTAAAATAGCATTAGTATACAATCAGTGGTCACAGTTTTGATCTTGTGTGCTTATGATAATGAAAAAGAAATGGGTACGTATTTTACGATCCTGAAAAGTGTATAATTCAAGATTGAGAGTAGACTTTTGAAGACTTAATTTTTTTATTCAATGCTTCTATTCTCCGAAATGCTTTGATCATTTGATTTTTACAATAACGTAACAAGTATTAAATTACAAACTATTATCACTATGCAAACAAGAGAAATTTTTTTTTTACGACGAATAACTAATTTATCAATTTTTCATAATAACGCAGTGATGTCTTCATATAAATGAGTAACGCGGGTATATTTTTCACTCTCAGTCATTTAGAATCATGTCTAAATAAGTTTAACTAGTGTGCTTCAAAATACAAAAATTAATTACATTAAAAATTAAAGGTTCCGAGGATTTTTCCATATGATTAATTTTATAATATATATAGAAATAGTTATTAATATCTCTTTCTCATATAATTTTATAATTAAACAAAAATTGTTTAAATAAACATTAGAAATTTTCTTCTGAGCCACCTATATTGCCTTCTTATTTCCAGATCATCATCTTCTATTATTTATTTTGCCTATATCATACGTATATAGTAATACATAATATGCGTGTAATGGTTGTGGTAATCGTATAGGTATCTCATATATAATCACATCCATTACGTGAGTTCGTGAAATGGAAAAGGGATTAAATTGAAAAAAAATCATATAAAGTAACTTTAGAAATAATCTGAACATTACTAGACCAACAGATAGATTCTGTTATCAGTAAAAAGTAAATATTTTTATATTCATTTTAACCTGAAGAACTCGTCTGATAAAAAGAATTTTTATTTAAAATTTTCATTTCAAAATTTTCATCACTAAAAAAATTTTTAAAGAATTTTATTCTTATTTATCCTTTTGAAAGTAAATATAGTATCAGTAACTGAAAAAAATTATTTGCTCATTATCCATGTTGTAAGGTAAATGAAAGTTGTATATTAAAAATAATATCGAGAAATTTTAATAGTGACTGGATGACTTTTTAGTATCATAAATGTTTCATAAGCTTAATATAAAAAATGTCATTATGAGATTGATAAACTTTATATTCGTTATACTTGTCAGAAAGATTATTTAGATAATAATTATTCATTATAATTTGAGTATTCGAGGTCAACCAAATATAGACAACACTTTTGTTTAAATTCCAATTCTTGTTTACTTATTCTTTTTAATAGTTTGACAATAAGGAAACATCTGGCTTGGGAAAAAAACTCTAGATCCCTAAGAAAATGTTTTCAACGATTACTTATTGAGATTTCGTATTGATATTAAGTTACTTAAGTATTACCTAAATACTACATATTTATCCATAACTAAACATGATATATATGAAAGTCGATAAATAAGTCATATTATTACTCTCCATCATAAATGTATATTATAAAATCCAAAGCTTAATTAAAAGTGAAACCCACGTAATGCAAGTGAAATAAAAATACATAAAACTAATTCATCTCATGTGACAACATTTCAACAAGTGATAAAGTTTTAGTTAACAAGTATATATGTCAAATTTGGAAACAATTGATCTTAAAGAAAAATCCCGTATTGTTTTAGGACAGATGGTAGATATAAAATGCTTGCCGACATATAATTAGATGTATCACTGAATTCCTAGATTTTATGATACAAAAAATTTTTACCATAAATATAATCCTTAGTATCAAAAGAAATAGTTGTCTAATTTAATTTATCAAAGTAGTTAAGATTTTTATCAACAATGACAATGCCTGAGCAGTTGCAAAATATAATTAGAATTATTTGCATATAAAAGCAAAAAGTCCTGAAGTGACTGGAAGGATCGAAAGTGAATAACGTTAATTAGTTTCATTGTTAGTTAATGATATTCTATACTCAAAAAATTTTGTCAAATGTACAAAAATACTATATTCTTAAATAATATAGCGTTGCAATTTAGGTTTTATTATTTATTTATTCAACATAGAAAATATCATAACTTCGTCATGATGATTTGTATCTTTAACATACATCATAATATATCGAGTTTTATCGTCGCAAAAGGGTCTGTAAAATATGTGAAATTTACTTCTTAAAAATATTTTTAACAAAAGAGGCCTACATGTAAAAAGTTTTTTTGTGAGCTAAGACGTAATAATTATATATCTCGATTAACAAAGATTGTATATCTTTCTATTGACTGTATTATAGAGCGTCGTGTCATCTCGCTCCTGTGTCTCATAAATCTTCATTGCATCCGATCTGTCTGCCTCCGGGGAGTAAGCGTCTTGGCGCAGGCGCACCCTCTAACCACGTATACGTATCGAAATGGAGCAGCAGCGGCCTATATCCTAAGCAAAGGGCCTTGGGTGAGATGTGAAAGCCAATATACATGGCACGCACGCTAAATGACTAAATAGATGAATTTTGCAAGTATATCATAAGTTACGATAAAGAGAAACATATCTGGAGTGGCTTACAGCTATGCATAATATTTGTCCAGTTGATTAAAATTGCGGGATTTCATGATTCAGCTTTAATATACGTGCGATTCAGTTAAGTCCACATAAGAATACCATTCAATTTTTAGTAGTCTGGTATTGATTCTATTAAGTTTTCCTTCTAGCACTTTTACTTTCGGAAAAAAGGATAAACCTTAGTTACCTAAGCTCTAATTCAATTAGTTAACAATATTAAAGACATAAAATAGTCTATTGTCATCAAAATGTGCGCGAGTGTATTTTTAATTATAGTTGGACTTAGCGATATTTATAAAGAAAAATGATATCGGAAACTGATATTCTTTAAAACGATAATTTATTTATAGCATATAACTTTTTAACTGCATCTTCATTGCTGGTGGATGAGTTCAATATATATTTTAAACTTGAAACTTTTAGTAACTCAAAATGAATAAGGAAATGTCGTATATAACGAATAGGATTCAGAACATAGATGTCTGACCTGATCATAAGATATACTACTTAAAAAAACGAGCAAAGTGGCTGATTGCGAAAGATAAACAAATAACTAAGAGGTGATTTGCAGAGAAGTATTGCAAAAATATATTCATATACTTGAAATTTTTTTAATTTTTTAATAGCATGTTCATAAAAAAAGAACTATTAAAAAGTCCTAACAATATATAGGTTACTAATTTTAAACAAGTTTTGACATGAACATTTGCAGATAATATTGATAATGCATAGTATATTTTATAGAGTTGAAATCGATAACGTAAAAATTGATTTTCAATAAAATTGAGGTTGAGAGAATACAAATCCCTCTAATTCTACACTTATCTTTATTAATCTATTTTAACGAAGTTTTCGATTGTATATACTTAATAAATATTATTTAAAACTGTATCATTGATAAGAGTTAAATATGACTATCTGATTTACCACCTTATGATATGTTTATTGTATTGGAAAAGGATAGAACCTCATGTCTATAAGCTAGCTGGCTTCTTTACCGACTTGAAAAGCTTATCAACTATCGCTAGATAGTATGTATGTATGTATGTACATATAATAATACAGCAGTAATAATTCATATTAGTTAATTATTCAAACTCTGAGAACAAACAACCAATTTAGAATAAAAGCAAATTAATGTTGTAATTATTAAAATAAAAATATCAAACGAAAATTAGCTTAATACTTGTGACGGCGGCTAAATATTTTATTAAATATTTATATTCTTTCTTGTAACTATATATAAATATGATAAGAACCTTTTCCTTCATACAGATCCAATTGTTAAGAGTTTCTAAAGTTGATCAGTAAGCGAAACAGGAAACTAGATTAAATTAATATATTTATATTAGATAAGAATGTGTGGCGAACGATCTTTTTAAGTTACCGTAGCAACATGCATTTTGCTTGCAATTAGTTTTTGTTATGAAAAAAGAGAGCTCGTATGAAAGGCTTATGAAATACTTTTATAAAAGTCAAAATGTTCCTTAATGAAAATAATGTCATTTACGAGGATTGATACTCTGTGTGTGTGTGTGTGTGTGTGTGTGTGTGTGTGTGTGTGTGTGTGTGTGTGTGTGTGTGTGTGTGTGTGTGTGTGTATGATTATTTATTACAAACACGTAATAAATAATCCAATATGGATATAACAATATATTATTAATCATATTTACTAATCTAAGTATTAGTAAATATGTATATACTGGATATAGTAAATAGAAGTAATCTAAATTGAACATATAGAATCTTAATTTCGTTTATTAAATTGTTAATTGTCATCAATGTTGTATAGTTTAATTACCTCATGTAAAATGCATAGAGCGTTGTACGTTGTTAATTAATTACAGATATTACAAATTCATAAAATAGCATTCATAAAAGAATTGATGTTATAAATATATGTCTATCAACTCATATTAAATCCGATCGTATTTCCGGCTAACAATGAATTGAATCCTAGTCGCTAGGCGTGATTCAAAAATTTGTTCTGATTATTAAACCAATTGTAATTATTACACTTCTAGAGAACCTCATAGAATCAAGATGAAGGATATAAGTCCTTCAACTGATAAAAGGTCACGCGGGTATGGATCAAACACTGTCTGACCTAGTCTATAAAACGTAACTTTTTGTATTTTCGAAGCAGAATCCTCACATTTATACTTCAATTTTCTCTTGATTTCGTTTTATACAATGTTTTGTTTTGAGTACCTCAGTTTTTGATATTTTTGAAAATTTGTACAGTTTTATTATAGAATAATTGTGTTCATTTTAATAATATAAAGTAAGTTTATCAGAATTTCATTTTTCTCTCTTCGTCAGTTCAAGAACAGACAACCTATCCCATCAATTTTTAAATGCCCGCAATATTAGTCCAGCAAGTGTCTGGATCAATATTAGTATTAGGTTCGGCTAGATTCGGTCTCTGGCAATGTCTGGGATAGAATGTAGTTGGAAGGTCGGTCTCTATGAAGGTCTGGGATAGAGCTTCATCTAGTAGGAAAAGTTACGTTCCACAATCCGTGCTGTCAGGCTTTTTGGCCATTTATAACAACAAGCCCATGCTGATCCTACTTTCATTGCTTAAGAATTTATACAAAATATAGCATAATTAAACGTTTCGTGTTTTTCAATGTAATATATTTGATGACAGGTTAATACTGATTTTAATTAAAAATGTTTCATATTATTCGCATCTATTAAGCAAAAAAGATGTACAGCAATCTTCTTTTTGTAATATATATAAGATAAGCCTTAAACGAATAAAATTAATACACAATTTATTTAATATTAAAATCAGAAAACTACTTTTCTATGAAAGCTGTTTCATATAATTATTAATTATATTTATTAAGTATGTTGTTATTTTTGTTATAATTATTTCCAGAACTATATTTATGTGGAACGCTGTAGAGGTATGTATATACATTAGGTACCTTTACGCATCGGTCTTGATTCCCTATAGTCATCAGTATACTTACCTTTCCTGACACTTTTAGAATGGTAAGAGAAGAGAAATTTTTTTACAAGTTTTAATTGTTTTTTACGTATTTGCTTTCATTTACAATTTTATTAATGAACAATAAAAATCTAACGGTCATTTCGTAAGCATAAAGTATTGTATCTCAATTATTATTACATTATAAAATCGCGCATAATGTTTTTTTTCCCTAATTAATTATCTTACAATGACCAAAATATAAGAGAGTAGAACATTTATTATTAAGTTGTAATACTATACATTGAAATACTGTAAACGTACTATAAAAGTAATTAAAGTGCAAACCTTTGCCAATACGGCTGAGTTCGTTTCGCACAGATATCGTTTCTACACGATTTGATTCAATACGTATTTTTTAATTATTTTTATTTGATATAATTTTCATATGATTGAACAGAATGAATAAAATAATATTTATTAGAACAGAAGATACTGTTAAACATGAAAACTTTTCACAGCAAATTCGATTGGAAAACAATTATCTAAAAGTATTCTACCTAAAATGTCTACTGGAATAGATGAATATTTGAAAGAATTAAACGTTTGAAATTCTGCCTATTATAGAAAAATCATTGAATTTACATCACATCATGTAGCATATTTCATTCCAATAAATCATTTGTTAATTTTTCCGTAGAAAGGTACAATATCAGGTATATCATGTTTTTCTATTATTTTATTTTTTGTATTTAATAGAACAGGATTATGTTAAATAAACAAAAGTTTTAAATGTATGTAGAATTAAATCGTGTAAAATTGATATCCCGGCCGCAAATACCGTTAAAATTTTCTTATTGCTTTCTATTATTATTTGCAAATTTATATATTAAGAAAAAGTTATTTAGATTTTATAAAATTGACAGATTGATAAGAACGCTTATTGCTTTTAATAAATTAAAATCACAAATAAGCACACAAAATAAGAATGACTGGAGTAATATTCATTGAAATGTTCTGTAATATGAAAATATTGAATTTTCTTAAAATTGTTATTTTCAGTTTTCGTTTACTAAATCTGAAATAAATAAAAATGGTAATGTAGAAATGGTTTATAATTCTATCATATTCATTAATTACCAATGACATGGAATAAAAAAATTATTTTAATTTATCTCCAACTATAAATGGTGTAAACACTGTTAACAAAAATTTCTTTAATTTAATCATTATTACCCTGTCTACGATTATGTCGAACGTGTTTTCGTCTTTTGAAACAAGTTGCACAGCATTTCTCGCGAACAATTGATGATGCATCGCACATTCGACGGTAAGCTGAGCACATCCATGATGGATTAATACTATCTTTGCATCCTAAAAAATGTTCATTTATTACTTTATAAAAGATAAAAATTTCGAACGTTTATTTGTAATGTTCATCAATATGCCTGATCAAAAAGATGATTTCAGATTGAAACCATGAATATTCAATAAGCTTATTGTAAAAAACTTTATGATATTTATCCTTCTTAACTTATTGAATATATGTTATTTATACTATTTTTTTAATGATATTTCCTAGTGAAAATACTCTGATACAAAACTCACCAATTTTTTCGTCTGGACACTGTTTCTTGTGATGGCAGCGTCTAACTTCCAGTGGTTTTCTTTCAGGATTACAATCCATAGAGGGTGAGCTAGTCTGCCTGTCTTGACAAGTGACGTCACGTAGCTTTTGACCCGACTTTGTACTACAAGTCGCATTACAAACGCCCCATTTACCTAGAAATAATTATTACGAATCAGTTAAATACGTAAAGGGTATCGCATATGTAGCAAAATCCGATCAAAAAATTGAAACTAAATTTTGAGCCCATATTGGTAAATTATTTTATTTTTCTATCAAGTTTCATAGTTTTTAATTGAATTGTGAAAGAAATGGAAAATTACTTTTCATGAAAAAAAAAACAAAATAAATAATAGATTTAGAATAAAATTAAATTCACTAACCAACATTACATATTATATTAATTAGTTTTCTATCATTATAAATGAATGAAAAATATACGATTTTTAAATACCGTCTTAAATATACTATATGATTAATATTATAATAAAACACACTCAGTTCAAGATAGGTCCCTACTATGTACTCTGCAAGAGTACTCAACTGCTTGCATAAGTTTTTATTATAAACGTAGTAATTATTCTTATTACTGATAAGTAATTTTTTTTAAATATACAATCGAAATAAAGTATCATTCTCTGAATTTGAACTAGACTTATCATTACAAAGTATTTAATAATGCTCATATAAAACTAACAAAATTGCTAAAAGTACTTAGATATTCCAGCGTCGTCAATATTATTTGTTTTTTATTATTATTTTTTTGTTCATTATTGATTATAGTTTCCTTATAGATGTTGATGATGATTAATAATTTAATAAAAGATCTGAATTAAAATAAAATACACTTACCAGTCACCCACTTGCCAGACTTACATTCCTCCATATCAGAGGGTTTAGTTTCGATACCGCACATGCCGGACTCATTGACAATCGAGCAAGACACTTTTCTCGTTCTCTTGCCACTGATGCATTGACTCCATTTGGACACTTGCCATTTGGGCTTGGCGTTGTAATCAGAGTTATCGATGGGGCCGTCAACGTCAACAACATTATCAAACTCAAGAATCTCGGTACTGTCAAGAGTCGTCGAATCAGTAGCCTCGCTAACATTGTAAAATGCAGTATTTTTTTCGTCAGTGGCAATCATAATGATGGGTGCCTCGGTGCTTACTGTCTCGCACAAAGGCAACTCTGGGCAAGGCTCAACTTCTTCCGGTCTCGCATTTTCATCACAATCATGATCGGGTAGTGCAAGTTCTGGCTGATCTTCACCACGACTTGCTGATACGCACATTACCGAGCGCTTTCGTAGCGCCCCCTCACCACATATTACTGGACACATTTGCCATGGACCAAACCACCATCTGCAAAAGCATTTTGTTTGATTACTTTTTGTATAGTTTAAAAGTTCAATCTATATGACAATTAAATAAATGTAAAATACGAAAGGAAAAAATAAGTTAAAAGAATTGATTAATACAGCAATATTATTTTACACAAATAATACGTTCATATAGAAAACATACACAATACTTTTTTTTCTCATTATCTATACTTAATATCGATTCACCTCGCAGGACATGGTTTGACGTTGCACTCGCGGGTCATTAGTTCAGGTCTTTTAGTGCTATTACAGAATTTATCTTCAACAGTGCCACTCTTACTCTCATGGCAAACCGCGTGTGATGTCTGCATGCCGCCGCCACATGTTACCGTACAAAGGGACCAGTCGGAAAACACCCACGAGTACTCGGGTGCACGACCTTCGTCTTTTTTTGGCACAGTGTACTCGTATCGAAGTCCAAAGTTACGATAGTGTCCTCGGTATATCAACTGATGAATAAGAACATTTTTAGGTAACTGTCATACAAATATTTCATGAAATAATAAAATAAATCGATAGAGTTATTTATAATTATAAAATGTTGGATATGGATGCACATTTATTTTTGTTCTTCGAGTTAATGTAGCTATTTGATAAGTGAAACTTTATTTACTCACATATACAACGATGTCTTCCTTAATGGGTCCTGGTATCCTCACTTTCTCTTTATCTCGATCCCGTTCATATAAAGCTGGTGTACCAGCAACTTGGTACTCTCCGGCCAAGGTAATCTGCCTGTCCAAATAAGATTGAATACGTGCATGAACTTTTTTGTTTGTACTACTTATTTCAGTTTTTAGTGTCTCTTAATTTTCTTATGGCGGTCCTATAATGCTTTAATAAAATTGTTTTTGAAAGTCAGTAGTTAAATAAAGTTTGATATTACGAAACCAAATTGCTAGTCGAAATTTAATTTATTTAATGTTAAGATAGTTTTGTTTATGTGTGGTAAAATAGTTTCATTCAAAGATATAAATACCGTTTCCCATTCAAGAAATACTCGTCCAAACCAGGTCGACCGATGCCAATATAATTTTTACTATTACCAATCTCTTCAATTTTAATATTCCGGGAACCTTCAGGAATCACTACCACTTCTCTGTATCCAGGACCTTCGTTTTTATCATATAAACCACGTATGGTAACGCATTGCGTGCCATCGCCATGACATATTCCACATCGATCTTCCGTCGCGTCTGAGTCAACTGCCCAGTCACATCCAACTTTCTGCAATCACTCAACTACATTTAAATAACTTTTTCAGAAGGATTATATGAGAAAAGAATTGTTGTTTAACAATTCCATTTATTTGAAGAAACTTGTGATAGTAATTAAAAAGAAAAAAGATTGAGAAGAACTCTGACGCTATTCTTTTGAACTGTAATTTATGTACACGATAGGATAAGAATTTAAGTTTACCCTGCATATACCAGCGATGCACATGTCTCTCGTGCCGACATTGCAAGGTGTTCCATCGAGCGCTGCCTCGCCCCATGGTACGATCACGCTCTCTTCCGTGTCTGTGCAGTAAAGCTCGCAAGGTTCAGCTTTAATGAAAAAATAAACAGGATATAAATGAATTTGTTGCATTCGACTTAGAAATGATTGACTTAGTTCAATGTCCAATTATGATTAATTTTTGTTAGAAACGTGTTGTTAACGGTAATCAATTTTATTTTATATTTTGATTAATTAAACGAAATTTTAATTTAAGCGGCAATTAAAAGAAAATTGTATACCGTAAAAGTTTTACAGAAGTGTAACATTACTCTTCTTAGTATTTTGACTTAACTGAGTCTACTCTTACTTAATTCGAGTATAGTTTTACTCATCTTGAATAATCATTACTCAAATCAAGTATGCCTGATTATGCATTTAAAAAAATTTTAATATCAAATTAATTATTTTTAACGATAGTTCAATCTAATCTTTTAAAATCAAGTAATTTTTCAATATGAATGTGAACAAGTAACTAAATAGTTTTTTGTGAGAACTATTATCGAGGAATTTAATCTGAGTAAAAATTTTTGGCTGTCAAATATAAACTTACTTTGATCAAAATATGGCAACCAAGTATAGTTCTTGCCCTTGTATTCGACACCGTTGTAATTCGTGCACTGTACACTTCGAAAACTAGGCTGCCCTTCAGGGCAGGCTTCTGTATTGCAAATCTTGTAACGGCGTCTCTTGCCAATACAGAACTTGCCGCCGTTAGCTGGTTCAGGATGATCGCATTTACGCTCTACGATTGAGACGCCCGCACCGCAACTGCGTGAACACCCACTCCAGGCACCCCATTCTCCCCAGCCACCATCGATCTGCTGGGGACGATCAACTATTGGCACGCATTCTTGATTCTGACACCACTGTAAAAATTAAAAATTAATTATCTGTTTTTCATTTTTTTTTAAACTTTGAACATTATTTATTTATATCAATGTTTTTGATCAATTAAAAATCGTTATTCCAAAAATTATTTATAAATTTACAAATTTGTCTTAACAAACCATATGTTTTCCGCAATGAGTACCAGGAGCGGCAGGATGTAACATTGTGGTACAAACTCCATCAACTACGCACCATAATTTTGAACAAATCTGAAAATATAATTAATTTTATCATGACTAAAAAGTAAACGTTCTTGGATAAAACAAAATGGGCTTTCTCACTTCTTCCAATGGCGAACAAACTGATGCTTCCCTAACAGCAAACTGAAGTCTGCACTGATGTTCAGCATTGTACATAGCTCCTGGTGGCAAATCCGGATAAGCATAGTCATTGTCAGCTGGTTCATCTTCAAGGCATTCTCCTTTTCCCTGACTAAAAAGTTGTCAATTAAAAGTTAATGAATAAAAGATTTAACATTAATTAAGTTTCCGTTATTTTGAAACATAGTTTGTTTTCAAATCATAACCCCGTAAAATGTTGAACTAGGAACTGATTACGTTGAAACATGATTTTAAATTAAAAAAAAATACGGCTCAGGATTTCTTCAATTACATTAGTATGTACCAAACGCGCTGCGACGTACTCTAAGAAATTCGTGATGTCCCTTCTTGAACATCTCGACCAAGCAACGCCAACGGTATCGGCCTCGAATGTAGGAGTCATGACATGTAGTTTGTCGCCGTCTCTCTTACTACATCCAATTTTTTCAGTGTCGTGATACATACCAAAACTGAAAAATTAATTAAGAAAAAATTCAAATATAGTGTAATGATACTAATGATATCATATATTGTTTCTCAGAGACTTAATCGTAAATCATTGACAGCTAATAAGACTCGGTTCATCTGAAAATATTTGCATGACATGTGGGGGCATATTGTTATTGAAAAATAACATATCAATAAATTACAGAAAATTAAACTAGAGATAAAACATCGAGCCAATTAAACATTGATAACTTACTTGTGACCAAGCTCATGGGTAATAGTATGAGCGAGAGTAATTCCATTGTCTTCATTGACGCTACAGCTACGATCGGGCTGACACATACCTGCAACGTGAGCCACACCAAGAGTGCTGCAAGGGGTATTTGCCCTGGAGCAAATGTCTTCTCTTGTGACCAAAATAGCGACGTCGTGATGGTTCGGATGAGAATCGTCAGGGGGATTCAATTTCTGCTGCCACTTGCAGAAGTTGTACAATGTTTTGTCCGCATTTATTGTTATGTTAAGTCCCTGCTGAAAATTATAGGTCCATGTGCATATTTAAGTCTTTGCTTTTTTCTTCCCCTTTTTCTAACTCGAATGTTCTCTTTAAAATTTATATCTCTATGAAAATCTCTCGGCAAAACAGTAGCATATTCTACAGTCGGATTACATTTTTAAACAACTAACTCTTTTCTACAAATCTACAAGATACGTAAGCAGAAAAATTGGAAGAAGAAATTTACGAAATGATAAATTTGATTTTTGTAAAATCAAATACTATTAATACAAAAATAATATTTTTGTAAAATCAAATACTCTATATATTGAAGATGAAAAATTACTTGAGCACGTGGTTATTATTGAATCTGACTGATGAAAAAATGCATGCATATCAATTATCACATTACAAATACTGGGTGTAATCTGCAGCCAATGCGCGATAAGCACCCACATCGCGCTCGACGGGTAACAATGACTAAAATTCCAAAAGCACCGCAATTGATCTACCTAACTGATAGCGAAGTAGCGCAAGTAATTATCGGTATGGCATCACATGAACAGAGAGCTACGCTTACAGTGACAGCATAATCGCATCAGTTTGATGAAAGAGCAAGGTGTGCAGGGCTAATACTGTACCTACCTCGGCCTCGTCCTCTTCCATCAGAATAATCCTAACAACGACGACATTGATGAAATTGCCAATGGTTGGGTCAAGGTAAAGGGCCGACACCATGTTCATGATGGTCAGTAAGTACGTTTCAACATCACCATCCTGATGGAAAGCCATCATAGTCGTGTCCGCGACTACTAGTGCCTCCACGTGACGTGGTCGACTGACCGAACGTTTGGCTCGCTGACGTCGCCTACCGCGCCCCTGCACCTGCACTAGTCCTGGTTGCGTTTGCCATTCAAGTAGTGTTTCCATAAGCCGTCGAGGTTCTGAAATGTATTTTGAATAATCAGCGACGATCTATATGAAAACTATGCTCTAAAAAAATGAAATGAATCTGAAAGAACATAAAATTTCCGAACAAATGCAGTTATGAAAAACTTCAATTTCCATTTTACAAACAATGTTAATGGGCTATGTACAAACTAACTTCTATTTTATATTTATAAGTTTTCGATCCAGTTCATTTAAGTATGTTTAAAGTTCATTTATTCTTCAAAATAATTATGGAACGGTTTCATATGCATGGTCGACAGTAATCTAAATTATTTCTGAATTGTTCGTTTTTTCGTTTTCAATTCAAGGAAAATGTACAAGAAATGGAATAGACTGCATTAAGTCAAGAAGTATTAAGGCGAAAGTTAGGATGAGAAAAAGAAAAACTTAGATTCTACTGATTTATCGCAGATTAGCCAACAGTGGTTTGTCAGTTTGATAAATTGCCTTATAGACTTGATTAGAGAAGAGTGAGAAGAGATGAAACCCATAAAAATATTATTAATTAAATAAACAACTTTGTGCTGCTGTGAATTCTAACTTCAGTAAGATTAAATAGATCTTATTTATTTCCATTAACTAGGAATGTTTGATTTTTCTGTAATTAAAAAGTAAATCACGTGTACTTTGCTTTCTCATAACATACATCTTGTAATAGATAAAAAGCATAGCATGGCATAATATTCAAAGCAAATACTGAGTGAAAATCCGTTTGTTTATGTTTTTTAACCAAATTTCTTTTTCATCGCTTACATATAACAATAGCTTTGAGTTTCTTAAAAATCCATATACGTTATTCATAGTACCTTTTTTCAATTGTAAATATCTTATATTGAATCTAAAAACCATATTATACGTAGCATAGATGACGTAAAGCAATTAATTAGTAAAGTTATATGAAAACTGAATGGTAGAATAAAAAATGCTGCCAATGGTTCTGGCGAAATTTTTCTTCTGGAGGTAAGAGAAGCGTTTTTTTATTAATTTACATTCAACAAAATAAAGACTTTCTCACACGTGTATCTACTAATTTTATTTTTCGACACTCCGTGCGTGAAGTCGATGAATTGAGCATGCTTAAAATTTCATTCCACATGCGTCGAATATAAAACCCTTGCTTCACTCGAGCGCAAACGTCCACACGAGGCTGAATTTATTTCTTCAAATTGGTATCGAAATGTACTATATAGACCAAAATAAATTTTATTTCTTCAAAACTTTAGGCATCGACTGCATATTTTGTGTATATATAAAGGTTAATGTTTGCCTCGTTGTTTCAATTAATACATAAACAATACATAAACAACAATTGTTAATAACTTATATTGTTAATTATTATTGTTATTATGACGTCAAGAACTACGTTCATATAAACATGCTGCAGAAGCAATCTGAGTGCCCGTACGATATGAATGAACTTTGTTCCCTATAGTCAACAGCATGTAGGCTTATTCTCTAACATATAAAGAAAAATGATTGTACAGGTATAATAAGGAAAAGGGAATAAAAATTATGAAAAAAAAGAAAATAACACCTGAATAATACCATCTAGAATTTACCTTATTCGAATTCTTACTAAAAAGGAGAATAATGAAAAGTGATGTTTCTATTGATTGTGATTGGTTAGTTGGAGATAGAGTTTATGACATACAATTGGCTTATGTGGATATGACGTAATGATTTGATACGAGATTTTGAAATTTTAATAAATGTTGTACAATTTGACAAGTATTTAGAGCGCACAGCGCGTACAGTGACTACTAGTACTTGAAAAAAGAAATGTTATTTTGAAGCGTGATATTTTAAGCTAGATATATATCACGGAATTTATTGTGCCACGACTCATTTCAGCTACTTTCATAGAATTTAAAATAACTTATCATTTTTATAAAATAATTATAGCAATTTGCTCGTGGTAGATCTATATAAAACATTTATTTTACTTTAAGATTTTTTTTTAAATAGCTATACATTTTTTTCTAATTTTCTTCAAAACTATTTTTTCACCTACATTCCAATGTTTTTGAACATATGAATAATGTTTCATTAAAATCCATCCAATAATATTGATAATATTGATTAATAAAACTCATATACGTGTGCATATTCTCACAGCAAAACGTCCTAAAAATATGACTTTCATTTTTCCATGATTTCTAACAAAAAACATAGATATAAACTTTTCTTTAATTATATGCAGTTTTAGATTATAAAAAGTCATGATTATAGCATTAAATGACAAAAAAAGTAAAACTGTATAGAATAATAGAAAAATAAACAATTTGCAAAATAAAACGAAAATTTTAGAGTATTATAACGATGCGTACGCAAATAGCCGTCGCATCTGAATTTTTCCCTTTCCAATTAAATTAGGCATTAGAAATTATGAAATAACATTTTTTGAACTTGAATATTTTGATTTCAATAATATATCAAAACTAATTTTGGCCTCTCAAAACCTCTTATCGAGTTTTCGCTCCAGAGCTTAGTTTAAGCAGAAAATAGAAAAAAATAAAAAAATATTTTAATTTTAATGAATACATATTATTTAGCGAACTTTTATTATAAGAAATTAATCTACGAATTTATACAACATGGCGTGCGAGATAACAAGTATCGCTCTATTTTTATTATATTTTATTATTAGATAATTATTGATAACTGTATTTTGCGGCGAATTTAATTATAATATTGATTGTTAATATAAGTAGTGTATAAGTTATGTATTGGTCGATTATGGTTGTTCCAACTTCAATTAATTAATAATTACGAAATTTTTAATTAATCTTGGTTCCGAATGATACTTGAAGAGCCATCTTACGAGCTAAGGCCTGTACCCTTGGGTCCGCGCTCTCAATTTTTTCCACGCCCCCGCTCCAATCAGGGCCCAAAAATCCAATGAGGAAAATCAGAAGAAACAAACTGACCAATTAACACATCATTGCCTGCTCCACTCTTCCCAAAACCGAGAGGCTGAGAGAGGGACTCATCACCCACACACCCACCTAATATAAAAAAGGCTGCACAAGACCCAGAGTTCAAGTTCAAGTCCTAAAGGTTATTAGAGAAAGTTCAAGTTATTAGAGAAGTGCTAGAAAAGTAGTTGAAGTTGCAGTTGCAGTTGTTCCCGTAGTTGTCAGCACAAGAATAAGTCAACCAAGAAGTAAAGCAGCCAAGAAGACAAGAAAATCAAGAGAAGATTGAAGGAAGCACGGGAGTCCGTAAACCAAGAGTCCAGACGAGAAGAAGTGAACGAAAGAGCCAAGCCGCCAAGCAGCAAAGTAGCAGAACAGATAAAATAAAAATAAGATCGACCAATACAGAATAAAGACTCGCAAATTAACAGTGTCAAGTTTTCAATAAAAAAGAGTAAGCAATCAAAATTTTTATTTTTTTCAACTTATCTATCTCTCCTCTCTTTTAGAAGTAGGTCGCAAATCAAAAATTTTCCCTTTGTCGTATTTGGAGCAGAAGCACAGGTTTAGTGTCACTGTCCCCTTCGCTGTTAATAATTTTCGAATAGTGATCCCGCTAGTTTATGCGAGAAATCGCAGACTAGCAACAACAGAACCCTGAGACTGCGCCAAGCCTCAGGTGCACCTGAGATGTGCCGTTGCCACGACGTCACAATATTATTAAATGAAAATTTTATTACCAATACAGAAAGTGGCAGCTAATAATATAGCAATAAATATAGCATGTCACCTAATACGTTTATATGTATTAACTCTTAACTTGCACACCTCATTCTGGCCACGTAACTGCTCGGTGGGATAAATCTACCCCAGCCCAAAAAACATCGAATAAATCAGAGAATTTTAGAATTCCAACCTTTCACTACAAAAAAAATATTCAGGTTAACAATTTTTAATGTTACACACACTGAAAAAAATTGTTGAAAAAAAAAAATAAATTTTATTTATTGTTAAAAATTGTCTGGGGTAAATCTACCCCACATAGCAGTTAAGGGTTAAAGCATCTTTAGATTTTTAACTGCAAACTGTTTATAATTATTTAAATTTATTTTATGAACAAGAACAACGATAAACACTGAGCTTAATGTAAATTATGTCTTCGGATTGTGACTGTCTATCAAGGCGGATACTTCCGGATTGGCCGCGTTCGCTTATCCTTCAGGACTCCTTAGGTACAAAGGTAAAAGAATAAAATGCGGGTCTTGTTAAAAATACCCTATGTGAAGTGCTTTTCTTTTCGTACAGATGTAAAGGCTATTTGTAAGGGTGTCATTGCAATACTACAATAGAAAATGAAGTTTTTGCCTCCAGAAAATGGAAGATAATGAAGAAAAAGTAAGAATTATGTAGATGAAATAGTGATATAAGGGAATTTGGTCTGGAGGTCCAATAAAGATTCTCACCGCGGGTGCCGCAGTTTCTCTCGTGTTTCTTCTTTTTTTTACGGCGCGGTCGGCGCTGACGTGGCGCCTGTTCACTGCCGCGTGCTTTGCGGAACAGCAGGTGAGCCCGGTGATGCACCACCGCCTCCGGCGAACGATAGTGGCCCTCGTGCTCGCGACTTACCGGCTCCAACCAACTCTCACCGTGATCGCCGTGCAAGAAGCCCGTCTGTAACATCAACAACTTTGCTTGATACACATTCTTATAAAATATCTATTTTATCTACGCACTAATGCCTACAATTTGCTTTATATTTTTACTGTCAGTACCAATTAAATATTCACCTAAGCATATCCTATATGATCATTTTACTTTTTTATTTCAAATTAGTAATTATTTTATGATATTTATTCCTATTGTGCTGATTTCCGGTTTGTTATATTTTATACTTTTTTTCATTTGACTTTATTCAGCATTAACGAATATTAACTTTTCAAGCAATAATTTAAGTGAATAATTTATTTTCTTTTATACAAAAGGAATATCAGTATAATGCAAAAATCATAGTTGCTTTACATTCACTTATATATATCGCCAATATTAGCATGGTAGTTAAATTTATACGATATAAAAATCACAATAATATACATAACATACGTTATAAACATTAATTTATCGTAATGATTCAAGTGAATCTATGGGAAAATACTCTCATATTTATTTAAAGTATTGGAAAAATTTACTTGGCAAATTCTCGGCTTTATAAGAACTAGGCATTAGCGAAAACTGTTTGCACTCTGTGATTACGAATTAAACGGTTGGCACGATGATGCTTCGAGCACTTCGCGTTAACAGCCGCTTAACGCAGTCATTCGGCAAAACAACCAATATCGCGAACAGCTCTTGCTCGCTACATTCCCGCGTAGCTTTTGTCCACATCCCACATATCGACCCGCCGTAGATTCCTGGCTCGATGCCTTGCCAAAGAGGATTCCAATACGCTTCTATCGTTGCCCGTGAACAGCCGCATCCGCGGAAAAGAATGCAATGAAAGGTCTAATTATTCCAATTAAATAACTAATCTATGATTTCATGCATCTAAATATATTGATGTTAATGCCCTAAATTTCCTTTTCTAAACCGATATAATAATAGATAAGTACATATGTTACGTGAGAATTTGTATCTTTATAAGCTAAATGAAAAAGTGATTGAACGATCGCGGATTTGCAATACACCTCTTGCTTAAAAGAATCGGAACTCCTTGTTACTTTTCGTTATTCCCATATGCTACGTTGGTTTACATACTATACTTATATACGAAGTCACCGTGTCTTGCGATGCGAGCATACATAACACGTATAGTATAATAAATATACCGTTATTCAATTAACAAGTTTAGATAAAGATTAAAAAATAAATCTTCAAGCAAATTAAGCGACGGCTCAAAAATCCTTTGCTTGTCGCTCATTGTGAAAGAGAAAGAGGCTGACAGTATGAAAACAAAGGATCCAAAAATAGCCGGACGTGAGCTGCGAAATTAACACGCGGCAAGATGCCACAGCGCTGAAAGAGAGAGGGAGAGAGAGAGAGAGAGAGAGAGAGAGAGAGAGAGAGAGAGGGAGAGAGCAAGAAAAGTCGAAAGAGCAAAAATAAAAAAAAGAAGAGGAAGAGGAGGGTAAAACATTACGTGCATAAAGAGCCCGCAGCGCTCTCGCGGTTGTCGAGCGTGGAAAATCGCGGCGCCGGCACTAAGCGCCAGCCGGAGGCACCTTCCAAGAAAGGGAGAGCAAAACGAGAAACGCAGAAGGTAAATAAAAAAAAGTCCACGCTAAGGCCTTGTGTTTATGGCGTGAGGCCCCAACCTGGCGCCACGTGCTGCGTTTTATGCGCGTCCCGCGTTCCCGCATCGGGCTATTTCGTTTTTTTTTTCATCTTCATCCCGTAATACAAGAGCCGATAAGAGATCTTCTGAGTCAAGCTGCATTGCCTGTTACTATTAAATTCTCTGCAGATATACAAAAATCTCCTCTTCATTTTTTTTCTGAGCAAAAAATTTAAAGTTTAGAATATCATAACTTTGATTGTTATTTAAGAATAGCAGGGATTTTCTGGAAGTTTATTTTGTATTTGTTGATCATCATACATAGATGTACATTGTTATTTATTTGCAGTTTATTTTGAAAATATATTCTTTTATGATTGCCATAAATTAATTATTATGTTATTTTTGTGTGCTTTGAGAGACGAGACAAGTATATGTTATACATGCAAAGTCTTTTTATAGTTTATAATAAATTTTTAGGGAACTTTGATATTGTAAAATGGATGTCTCGACTTGCATGCGAATAGGATTTATGAAGCAGTGAAAAACATAAAATCTATACACATTGCTCGGACATTCATTCAAGAACCGCGAAGTTCAAATTAATTGATAAATAAAGTAGTACTTTATTCTATCCTCCCTATACTAATATTACTATTTCACACCAAAAAATGTTGCAACATGGTCAAGTATCAAATCCCAGTGAATGCAAATACACGTATATATATCTTACTTTACTTTGCATTTCTGATAACGGTAAATTATATCACATTATAGGGATTCTCCTGATTTTACATCATGATGTTCTAACTGTTTGATCAGTTCGAAAGATAATTACAAAAAGATAATTAATCTTCAATTAGATAAGTTTGTTTAACTATACGATATAATAATAATCGACATTTCCTTATTATCATTTATTTCCAAAATTATATATTAAAATAAATTCATTTTGTTGTCTAATATTAGTAAAAGATTAATAGTATTTTGTCTGATAAACATTCAAGATCAGAAGAATGGAAATGGCGAATATTGCCCTAGACGTAATTTATATTATTTTAATAGTGTATTATGTACAATAGCCAAGAGGGAATCAGTAAAATGAATGATAAAGGTCATTATTTTGAAATAATGAAATGTTTTATTAGACCTTTCTATTATAGAATGTGAAAGTTATAAAAATTTTCATGTTCTATCTCCTTGTCAGTTTATTACTTTACACTATCGACTCATTATTACGAAATTATGACACAATGTACGTGTCATTCTACTCAACATGAACGCTTGAATGAAAAGTAAATATGAATGAAATACACACGTAGTAGAAGTAAAACAAGGCTTTCATAAATAGAATCGAATAAAAAATCATAAAAGTTTGTAAATAATACTCAAGTCTGGCGGTGAAGAAGTAAAATAAAAATCAAATAAAATAGAAATCTATGATAGAAGGGAAACGAAACCAACATGAAACGAGACGTAGTTAGTCAAAGTAGAGATACCGCTATTATCCTGTGAAACAGACGTCTGCATGTGTATATGTGTGAGTCAAGCATTAGCATAATGCGAAGCCGCCAAGCGTACAGTCCAGAGGCTGTATCTCTTCTTTTTTTCTCTTTGCTGACCGAGAAGTCTGAATGGATCTGTCTAGCTTTTCAAGAGATCTTTCGCGGATTGTATAATGCCTGAATATATTACGACGTTTATAATTATTGATCTCGAGCCGCAGACATTCTTGACGGCACGGTAAGTATAATTGATGTTTTTCTTTGATATTAGGTCGCACCTTTGAATCTGAATAATTCTTCGTTTGAAAGTTCTACTATAGATTCAATATTTAAAAAAACATAAAAAACATTTCATTGCTTTAACACTTTTTCGTAGAGATTTGCACATTTATTAATATCTTGAATAGAATTGATATACCAATGACTCAAATCTCTAGTACTCGTTCAAAATTGTGTGAAAAACACTCATCATATTAGTATGCTGTGATTTTTCTTTTTTTCATTTTTAAATCGACCTGAGGGATTCGGAGGGTAATGTCTTTCCCGTTAAAATGAGCTCCCGCGGGGTTCTATCCGATGTTTTTTAACCGAGTTACGGCGTTTTTTGTAAAAAGCAACCTTTTTTTCCAATCCTCAATTACTTCGACTTGCGTACGTTTTGGAAAAAAATGCCAAAGAGAAAAAAGTTTCATTTTGTGTCCAAGAATACGAAAATAAAGTCAAAATAAAGAAATAGAGAAAAAAATTTTTTTCAGTTTTTTAGCGCATTAAAAAAATAAAGGAATTTAACTTTTTTTTTACGCTTAGTTTTAAAATGTCTAGGGACGTAGTAAATTACAAGAAAACTAATACTAAGCGTAAAAAAAAGTTAAATTCCTTTATTTTTTTAATGCGCTAAAAAACCGAAAAAAAATTTTTTCAATATTTCTTTATTTTGACTTTATTTTCGTATTCTTGGACACAAAATGAAACTTTTTTCTCTTTGGCATTTTTTTCCAAAACGTACGCAAGTCGAAGTAATTGAGGATTGGAAAAAAAGGTTGCTTTTTACAAAAAAACGCCGTAACTCGGTTAAAAAACATCGGATAGAACCCCGCGGGAGCTCATTTTAAAGGGAAAGACATTACCCTCCGAACCCCTCAGGTCGATTTGCCCTCCACCGCCTGGTTCTAAATTGGCATTGATTTAAGTCGCGGTTAAAAAAATTTCAATTTTTTTAATCAGTTTTTTTACTGTAAAAAACACATATTTTCATTTTTAAGTCTCTGCACGTCTTAAATGGAAGCTTTTGCAATTACCTTTAAAATGCCCTGCGGTTTTTTGCGATACGATGATTTCCGACCGAGATACAAAACTTTCAACTTTGCCTAATTTTGAGGTAAGCATGGCAAAAGTGATTGACGGGCAGTGTATGTCGAGAAAAATTTATATCGAAATATTATTAATTTAAAATCAAATCAAATTGTAAAAGATTTCAGTGGATTAAATCTATCATGGAAACCACTATAAAAAAATACGTCATGATATTTACCTTAATGGTAACGTAGAAATAATATCATTTTTATAATTTTGATGTAACATTTTCTTATAGTTATACAATGTCATCTATAAAATAACAAATAAATCATTCCCATTCACAGAAGAACATATACCTCATTTCTATTAAACAGAGGGCAAAGCAGAAAGGGACAAAAAGGGGCAAAAAAAAGGACACGGCTGAGGGGTCAAAAATCGATCCATATATACATACAATTTACAGTATTGTTACAATGAAGACTGGTGTGCGGACAATGGTACACGGTTTTCTTGTACACAAAAATTGTTATGCACAATAACATATAGTAAAAATTGATACACGCTGATTCATATGTTATTGTAATAGTTTTTATGTACAATAA